TAAATATATAAGTTAAGTTCTATGAAATTCTACACAGTATTTAATTTTAAAAAAGAAATATTCTCAGGGTGTTTGAAATTAAATTCTATATTCTACTATGTATTAATAATACAATGACAAATTGAGAATGCCCGTAATTTTTTTTATTATTCTCTCTGGGTATCGCTCAACTTAACAAATTAATAAAGAAGACATTCACAATCATACATCAACTGTCATGTTTTGTGGGACACCCTGTATATGTATATTGGTCTGTATACAGAGTGTACAGTACAACAGAAACTGGACTCCCTTTGTTTACAAACAGAGACTTAAAATTTGTATTTAACTAATTTCAGAAGTGAATTTTACTGCACAATAAATAATTTCAGACAGCACAATAATGCCTTCATGCATAATCTGTAAAACAAGGAATGCACAATTTGTGATAACGAAAAATAAAGATCTTCGAAATATATCTCTTGGTCTTCACTTTTGTATTTCGACAGATTTAAGAGTATTCAAGTTTTTATCCCATGAAGGGATCACATTCCTTTTTCTTTTTAAGGGGGGAGGCCATAACCCCCCCCCCCCCCGAAAAAAAACATATATTTCACTGATCCATGAGGGGGATGAGCCCCCCTAGCCCTCCCTGAATACGCCTCTGGATAATAACATAGATGTGTTTAAACTACATACAAACATACAAAAATTTTGAGTTTTAATTAAGAAAATTTTTAAGTTCTAACTGAAGACGACATTTACATGGGTCTTATAGTTTATTTTTTCTAGTCTTTACTTTCTAAAAGAAATCTTTTCATGCAATCACATCCAAACCTAATAAAACCTTATGGCCCAACCTGTCGTCGTTGCCATAGTCTGTTCCACTCTAGTATTTATTCACTTTTGGGTTGGCGGTTCCCCCCCCCCTGAATTTGCTAACATAGTTAAACATAATTTTTTCCGCACAGTAAAGTTTAAGTGTAATGTCCAACTTTGCACCTTTAGGAAAAGTTATGTCTAACCCTATCACGATTCGGCTATTTTACTCTAATATAGTTTGGGTGTTCCCCCAACCCCTATGATTATCAACCATCTTTTTTCAATTTTTACATAATCTTCAACATACTAGAGCGAGTCAGTATGGTTGAATCTTGCCAGGAAAAATGTAGAGACTATGGCATTAAAGTTTCCTCAATCACCTGTGACAGACCAGTTGTATATGAATCCATGCTGAAAAAGCTAGGTGTCAGCCTGGATCCTGACAACATTAATTTAGAAATAGCAACTCACATTGGGAACCCTGCATCAAAGGCACTTCTAGACACATGTCACATGCTGAAGAATGTCAGGTATAAATTCATTTTCTAATGTAATTTTTTTAAATCATTATTTAAACCATTATTTTCTCTTTTTAAAAATGCATGGAAGAAATTTTATGAAATTGTGGATGCTGACGGAGGCGTCATTTCATGGAAATATGTGGTTCTTCTGCAAAATCTCCAATCATTTCACCTCGCTAACAAACTGGACACCAGATCACATCTACTTTAAAAACCAAATCATGAAGGTTTCCTTGGCTGCTCAGATTTTTAGTTTGAGTGTTGCAAATGCAATTGATCATTGTAGAGAGAATCTGAAAATACTTGGTTTCTGAAGACAGTGCTGCTACATCCAGGTTTCTTCATATGTTTAATGATCTTTTCGATCTTTTAAACAGTTCCTCCAAATTTGGTGCATGGTCAAAAGCTCCATTGTCAGTATCCAATACAGGATACTGGAGAGACACCTTTCGGGAAGGGGCAGCTTATATCAAAGGACTTTCTTCAGGTAGTTAGTTAATAGGTTTAATTCTCTATACTTTCTTTTTACTTTTGTAAATATGCAAAAACACAGGTTTCATGATTTAAATGGTAAACTTTTTCAACCAATTTTTTTTTTTGGTGGCCCTCCTTTAAGATTGTTTTTACAGGGGGGGGGGGGGGGTTAGAACCCTACTAGATTCTAGTAAACGGGAATTTACAAGGCAAAATCAGGGACAAATTGTAATAATGACGATATTTTTCAATTCCTAGGTTTGAAAGTTGTTGAATCCAGGCGAAAAACTGGATTTGTTGGTTTCCTACTCAACATAGCATAAGTAGAGAAGATATTTAAAACTACGTTGAGACTGGACCCTTAGAATATCTCCTGACATTCAAGTTGTATCAGGTTAAACAACTTTTGAATAAGTTACTACATTAATCATTGTTTTAACATTTCTTCAATCTAGACATTATCAGGATCACCTGGAGTCTTTTTTTGGCCGTGTGAGATGTATACTATATCATGTGATACTAACCCCACGGCGAAACAGTTCACAGCAGCATACAAGAGACTTGTCCTAGGGGCGTATGGACAAAATTTCAGTCTTTCTGGAAACATATTTGGCCAGGATGAGACATACTCTTTAGATGTTTTTAAAACTAAAACCTCTGGAATTCAGTACATAGAGAGAGGGTTAGAACTTGAAGAAGTTCAACATGAACTTCAAGATGAACTGGAAAGTTTTGATACAAATCTTTCTGAGTTTCAAAATTCAGCAATATTATATATAGCTGGATTTGTGAAGAGGAAACTACAGACAACTTTAAGATGTCAACCTTGTCTAGAAGCAATCAACTTGCAGCCAACCTTTTTTCACGGAAAAAGTCTTATTGATCTGAAAGACAGGGGTGGTCTTATGTATCCCTCTGCTGACCTTGTTAAGGTTTGCCAGGTGACTGAGATCAAGATTCAGGTATTTAAATCTGATCAAACCCTGTTTAACAGAAGTAATATATTTCAACGAATTTGCGTGAAAAGCACCTCAACTATGTTGACTCAGTTTCCTTCAGTTTTGAAATCCTCGGATCATCGAAACCTCCACAAGTACAATCTGCTGAAACAAATATCACTTATATATTCAACCTTGCGTCTGAGAAAAGAACCGAGAACAAAACTCAACCAAACTCCGCAAAAAATTGTCCAAATTAGTTTTGTTTTCTCACCAATGAAGAAATTTTTTAAACTATACGTTCATTTACACATTTGTCTTGTCTGCTTCTGTATTTGTGTGTTTGGACTTAAAATTTTCACTTTTAGAATCTCTTTTGAATATTTAAATTTTTAAAAGGGTCTNTTGTTAAACTTCTTTAAATAAACTAGTAAAAAACAGATTACCCCGAGAAGTAAAACGTATTCAATGACCTCTTCAAATGACGAGTTCATGATGTACAAGGGGTTGTACAATTTTCAGCTTTACAGTCTGCAAGAGCAATCTATTCTTATTTATCTAGGGTAGGTATGTTCAAACATCATTTATTACAATTTAAACCGTCGCACAGCAGAAGCGGTTGTACTGCGATCACGCGGTTCAGCCACTTCTTTTCTAGGAGCACAAGAGAAGGGGTTAAATTAGGTCTCAGCTACTTCTTGATAATCATTAGATCTGGTCCCAGGTTCCCTGGGTGGTGTGCTACAGATACTGACGTGTTTGGTAAGGTGAAGGAGGTTGGTCTGTGTGCGGATTCATGTTTATCCCATGCAACAGATATTAACTTCGCAACCATCAACCTACTCACTCAAGATGAGTGCATGTACATCTTTAATCTCTCAATGTTTTTGGTAAGCCTCTTAACATATGCAACTAACCTGATCCTGGTTTCAGGTTTAGAATTCTGATCCTGAACCTGATTTCACATGTTTGGAACCCTGATGATCCTGATCCTGGTTTAATGTATGGAACCAGCTGATGACCCTGATCCTGGTTTTATGATTATAGTGATTCTGTCTTTTACATGTTTAGAAATCTGATCCTGGTTTCATATTTAAAACCCTGATCTTGGTTTCATATCTAATCCTGAACCTGGTTTAATATTTAGAATCCTGAACCTGGTTTAATATTTAGAATCCTGATCCTGGTTTAATATTTAGAATTCTGATCCTGGTTTCATATTTAGAATCTTGATCCTGGTTTAATATTAAGAATCCTGATCCTGGTTTAATATTTAGAATCCTGATCCTGGTTTAATATTTAGAATCCTGATCCTGGTTTAATATTTAGAATCCTGATCTTGGTTTAATAATTAGAATCCTGATCCTGGTTTAATATTTAGAATCCTGATCCTGGTTTAATATTTAGAACCCTGATCTTGGTTTCATATTTAGAATCCTGATCCTGGTTTAATATTTAGAATCCTGATCCTGGTTTAATATTTAGAATCCTGATCCTGGTTTAATATTTAGAATCCTAATCCTGGTTTAATATTTAGAATCATGATCCTGGTTTAATATTTATAATCCTGATCCTGGTTTCATATATTTAGAATCCTGATCCTGGTTTCATGTTTAGAATCCTGATCCTGGTTTCATATTTAGAACCCTGATCCTGGTTTCATGTTTAGATTCCTGATCCTGGTTTCATGTTTAGAATCCTGATCCTGGTTTCATATTTAGAACCCTGATCCTGGTTTCATATTTAGAGTCCTGATCCTGGTTTCATGTTTAGAAAAATCATGATCCTGGTTTAATATTTATAATCCTGAGATCCTGGTTTCATATTTAGAGTCCTGATCCTGGTTTCATGTTTAGAATCCTGATCCTGGTTTAATATTTAAAATCCTGATCCTGGTTTCATATTTAGGATCCTGATCCTGGTTTCATATTTAGAATCCTGATTCTCCTGATCTTGGTTTCAAGTCTGAGCTTGAGATGTGTGGGGGAAAAAAAACTTTCCTTCCAACTGAGCGAGGGGTGTTTGTCAAATTAAGGTAATCCCAAAAAACGGTTTTGAAAATATTTCAAAACATTTTTCCAATAAAAAAAAACAATCATACCGCAAATCGATGTTCCTAGTGATTCAGGTTCTTCAGGTATGCTTTAAACATTCTGAATTTTTCTTTTTCTTTAGGAGTATCCTGCAGGTATTGTTAATGTTTTTTTTCTTCTCAAATGTGAGATTAAAGCTCAAACTCATTTCTTTTTATAGAATTGGGGTTGTTGCACAGATTCATTGTACACTGTACAGTGTACAGTGTACAGTGTAAAGTGTACCGTGTACAGTAAACTGCATGGTATATTTAAGTGTTTCTCTAGGAAGACAAGAGTAGAGAGAGAACAAGATCGGCAACTTTTCTTGAAATTCAGTGAACTTCTAACCGCCAATAAGGAATATATGAGACCGACCAAGTACAAGTATATATTCCAAGGAAATAAAATGGATCTGACAGGATTACCTGACGATTATCCTTACAATTGGTATTTAGGAGGTAGTTTTAAATTCTTTAGAGGATGCTTCGGTGGTCGGCGTTCGGCGTTTATATCACTACAATGAATACGACTTATCTATTTGAATTTTGATTTCTAACAAACTTTTTAAATTACAAGTTTACAAGTAAACAAATAAAATCTGTAAATTGACAGCTTCTCTTTGTTTCCATGTTATATGTGTATTCATGCTGTTTGAAACAGTATAAAATTGAAATCGAAAGTCGTCTTCATGGTATTAATATATACGGCGATGACTGTATGAAAACCGAGCTAGCTAGAGTGAAAGCAACCCGGACCTTTAAACATCCAGTAGTTGTTAGCAAAATAAAGTTTCTAACCGCCGGGTGATTTGATCCTTTTAAGAAACAAATTTGAGCTGCTACAGGTCCATTATAAGGTTACCACTTGGACTTGAGATATAGTTTTGCTCTTAATGAGCACAAAAACATCGATACGGAAATACCTAAGTACCAAAGAATCTAAGCAAGAAATTTACAGGAAATCAGGTTTCAGGGAGGAAAAACTGGAAAAAAAACTTTGGTAAAGTCCTAGGACAAAATGTCACTGGAAATAAAGTCCTGGGTTTTAGATTCCTGGGGCTTTATTTAGGACTTTATTTCCGAAAATTTTTTGGCATTTATCTTACCTCACCGTAAATATATAAGTTTACGAACACACTTAAATATAGTAAGCTGCAGTTCCTTCAATTTCCGTACATCAACGAACCTTTGAATTTTTAATTTTTTAACCAATTATACTCTCCTTCTTCTTTCTTGTCCTTCCACGTACAGTTTTATTTCTCCATTTGAGTTCTTTCTCCTCCTCCCCCTTTTCCGTTCTTCTTTTTTCTCCTTGCATAGCAGGTTCTAATTGTTAACAAAACAATCCAGTTTAAAAACTAAACAGAGCAGTAAGGAAGTTTATGGATATCTAGCTACAGTGTCTGACTGCTAAGCGTTCAATATTTGAGTTTGGTTTTTAACTTAGGTATATTTCAGTTTCAATGCCTCACAGCATTGAAAAGCTGTCAAAAGAAACCTGAAAATATTTTTTCATCCATTTTTTAGTAACATAGATGTAAAGCAACTTTAACAAAATAATATTCAGGACGAGACAGTTGTCAGGGGGATTCAGGAGGACCTCTCTTTAGAAATATTAAGGTTCTTTATTCATTTTATAATGACGTACATGATAAAATGGTTGATGTTTTTATTTACATCATAAATGAGTTAAATGAGATGAGAGGCAAAAAGAAATAACTCCTGTCTGGACAATATCCTAGCAATTGCCCTGATACACTTGATCCCACGGAAACTTACAGGTCAAAGTAAACCTATATTTGGAGCATAAAATCCGCAAGGTTCACTTGTACTGTTGGTTTAAGTAAAGGAATTGAGTTTTTGCCACAAGCACAAATTTTCTAATCTCTATATCTTTGCAATCTAATGGCGTACACCTTTGATATTTCAAATTTAGATTATTTGATCTAACATAGTTTGAAATATCAAGGGTCTACGACGTTGGGTTGCAAGGATATTGGGATCAGAAAATCACAGTTTGTGGCAAAGACTCAATTCCTTTGTTTGAAGTACATTAAAACTAGAACAGTAAATCCTTGGACTTTGTTCGAATCATCCAATAATTGGATCATGTGCAGGTCTTACCTGCCAACGCGCTATACTAAAATATATGTTTAATAAAGTCAGTATGGATTGGTTTGAATGATTCATGGTTTACATTATTATTTATAATGGTTTCTATACCACAAAAATTTTAAATAATAAACCCTAAAACCGAAAAATTAGAATTCATAAAAATTTGCACCAAAAAAATAAAATGAAAATAGCTAATAGATTCTGATATACCACTCTGATTGGTTAAATTTTAGAAACTTTCCGGGTTACAAACTAAAAATTAAAATAATCTTAAGATTAAAAAAAGAAGATATTAAGAATTGATCTCGATATCCACAATTCTAAAGTTTTTAGCTCAGGTCATATGTTTACTAACCACTATCTTTGTTCAGGTGAACGGTAGGGTTAGAGTAACCCAGTTGGGAGTAGTGGCTCGGGGTTACGGGTGCGCGGATTATAATAGGCCTGGAATATATACAAGGTTAGATTTTTTTTTCTTTGCTTTGTAATAAGTAATTTCAGTTAATGAACAATTAAGCACGATACTGAGTAATTATTTAATCGTAAAAGTGATTGAGCGCCTTTAGAATTCGATTTATGCCCCAATTGCATTTGAGTTTTAAAAAATTAGCCCTGTCAGGTCAAACTAAAGTAAAACTCTTCTTATTAAAAATGTTTTGAATTTATAATATGAAACTGGATAAATTCCTACTTACGCTGTTAATCAAACCAAGAGGAGCTATAAGGTCACACAGTCTTACCAGTAATATAGTCTTAATTTGACATAATCTACTTCTGTCTAGTTTGAAGATCTTATCGAATTGGTTTTAATAAACATATAAAAGATCGGTCAAACAAACAGCTTATTATTTTGCTATGCAAATGTTATTCTGTGACAAGAAACCTGGGTTTCTGTGTTTAGCACTTATTATTTATTTACAAGAAAAATATAAAATCATATACACACGACTTCTGTATCGAAATATTTGTATCTTGTATCTTAGACAAAATAAAATGTCTAATGTTTTCTACACCTAGGGTGACTGGGATTTATGATTGGTTGAAGAAAACAATTTTGGAAAATTCTGGAGGAACTCCAATGTGTTATTTATAAATATTTTTATTTCAATAAAGAATTTTAGCAACATCAAAAAATAGAAAATTAGTAACTTGATTTGATTTGTATATTCTATATGAAAGATCCGTGTGTGCAGTTTTATAAAATTTTAAGCAGGTAATAAACCTTTCTATGGGATCATGTGAGTTACTTAAAACTATTGAGTCTTGATGGGTTCAGTTGATTTTGACATTTATTGGATGCATATAAAACAACAAACAAAATTATATGTATGATTATGCATTTGTGTATGTATAATAGAAGGCGTTCTATAAAGTTTTTTTTTTCGTTACCTTATACCTTAAGAGATAAATAGATAAAAATCCAGTAGTACTTCAAAACTATATATTTGCATGGCATGGATATAGTTGCTGCTTTTGCAGAGCAGCACAGACAAGATCTGCAAGATTTACAAGATCTTCAAGATATTCAGGATATTCTAGAACAGCCAAAAAGAGCTCCTGTCTGGTAAGGGTCATAAAAGTTTTAAAATTTGTTTATATTTGTATCACAATTATCATGGAGGGGTTTAACTTACTGGTCTAAAGAATTTTTCGCCCTTGCAGGTCTAAACTTAGACCCTGACAACTGCAGAATAGTCTCCAGTTCCGTCTTTTTCATAGGTTCCATCTTTAAAGACTCACCCTCCTTGATAGCTGCTCTCTTCGCAATGCTTTGGAAAGCAGTTTGTCCAGAAATCGTCAACAAGTATAACAAACTACTAGAAAGGCTGCTTAAGAACTTCTTGAGCATTGAATCTCTAAAGTCAAGGACCAACCCCAAGAGTCCATCTGGCCTTTACCTTCTGCACCTTCAACCTCTCATCACTCTTCAGGTATAGCTGTTTCCCCCCCCCCCCTCTTTCCATCATTTTGGTTTTATTTGACTCACCCTTTCTCTTTAACCTCTCATATATTTGTTTCAGTTTCTGTTACCTAACCATTTAATCCCCCCCCCCATCTTTTTCTTTTACATTAACTTTATACCCAAGTTTACCTTTGGAACCTTTTTTATTGTTTCATGAACGTCTTTTCAGAACACTTTTGTATGCACTTGTATCTCGGGCCTGGAACTGTAACTATTCCCTGCCTATGTGGTTTAAAATGGTGGCTTGGTTGAGGGGTGCTTATATCCCAAAACAAGAATTATCAATTTAACGATTTATAATTTATAATTCAATTTAAATCTATGTATGTTTATTTTGTGAATTGTTATTTACTATTTTACCCTGAAATCAAACCAGGATTATTAGTAGTACAAATTAGACCAGTATAAAAGGAACATTAAAAATGAAGTTACAGGGTGTCCCACGAAACATGACAATAGCAAGACGACTTGAAAGTCGTCTTTGGTATTTGAATTTATTTATCTCAGCCTCATTCAAGAACGGCACCCCTGTAAGTCAAAACTGCATTGACCAATTAAACGAACAAATGATACTATCAGATTAATTCCTTGGGAAATGGCCAAAGCCATTTGATCCTCCAATGGGTTCTCCTGAGGTAAGGGAGAGGTGGATAAGGTGGAATAACTAATATCCATCAGCTCAACCGATTTCTGATATTCAACTCATTTCTTTTAAAAAAATACATATGACTCATTGTATTGTGTAAATATCTTGGGTATCCAGGAGCGTATTCAGGGGGGGCTATGGGGGCTAAGCCCCTGGAAAGTTTAAAAAGTTTAAGCCCCCCCTGGACAAATTCCTGTGGGTATCTATAAGTATAAAGTAGTAATCTCTGCTTTTTTGTCTGTTTGTTAGTATGCTATAGTGGGACCAATAAAAGTGTTAGTTTTTAAGTTTGGGTGCTAGGGTGGGTTGAAAAAAATGCCAAAAAGAGGTAAAAAAAATGTAAAAAATATATTTTTGTTTGAAATAAATATCAAAGTGTGACACATGTTTCTTCATTAATTTTTCAAGGCTTTTTAAAAATATAGTTTTTAGATCTGTACCACTTTTGAGTTGGAATAGATAGTATATTTTTTTCTGGTTTGTGAAATAAAGTGAGGGGAGTGAAACTGGATATTTTCTATAATGAATGAGCAATCATAATTTTAATTGCTGCATTACTTAGGAAGCAATATATTCATTTTCTTTATTCAGAATGAAATGAGCTTTTATTATGTGTCTTCACATCGTATCCTTGGATTGTTCAAATTAAACTGAATTTTGAGATATTGAAGATTATTGCATTTTTCTTATATCATAAGCTTAAAAATGTTTTTATTCTCGTAGTAACAAACTTTATATATTATTCCATTTATTCAATTTTTTATGCATTTATATTCATTAGTTTATAAATAAAACTAATTTGGGAGATCTTTTTACAGATTGAACCCGTTTGTCATTGTCTAGAGCACTGTTACTACCGAGGAGAGACCCTAAAAGAATTAGAGTTGTATCAAAGATAGTCTGGGAAATATTGGTTGCAATCACCCTATAGCAGATCATGACAAGGTTGATTCACTAGGATAGTTTCGAGTAGTGTTTCCAACGCAAGTGGATTTTACTTGCGCGCAATTACGGGCCCTTTGCGTGCAAGTAAATTTAATTGCGCGCAATAAACACAACGCAATTCCGCGAATACTTAAAAGCTTCCTTTTTCGCAATTATAGCGCAATTGCGCGCAATGAAATGGCGCAAGGGGAAGCAACCATTTCGCGCAAGGGAATTCCAATTGAAAACCCAGTTTTGAGTAAGTAGAATTTCTCGCAAAACAGTTTTATATATTATTAATGTGACATTCGCTCTTTACACCATCACAGAGAAATCATTAAATTAACTTTGGAATCATTGTTTAACTTTAAAATAAGTTTTTATGTAAAATACAAATTATTTTGAAATCTAAAGCAAATATTAATATAGAAAGCTAAATATTCACCTCAATCATTTGTAAGTGAGAATAGAGTTATGATTTTTTTTTCATAATGATTGAAAATTTTAAAACCTTTTTAAATGTTTAAGTATTCATGAAGTATTACAAATATTTAAGATACCATATTATTTGTCATGTCAAGAGGTCTAATGTTAGAGATGGCAAATCAGTTAAGTGAAATGAACATTCTTTCTTTTAAATCATTTTATTCACATAACACATAGCATTTTTTTAAAAACATTCTTACAGATGAATTTGAAAAAGATGAAAAAGGAATATTGTCATCCAATCACTTTAACTTGATTTGAAGATTCACAAATATAGAATAATTAAGTTTCAAATGTGAAGTGTTTAATAATTTCTAATTAGGATTACAATGAAGTAAAATTAGTCGGCTACAAGGGCATGTTTAAGTTATACACATTACATCACCAATAGGTACGTAAAAGTTATAATTTAATCCAGACCAAATGTGTCTCTACCAAGTAAAGTTGCTAAGCAACACTCTAAAAAATGCAATTTTGGTCTTTAGCATCAGGCATCAAAGTTCTTCTTTCATACTCTCCTAACCTGACTGAGGGCTGGGATGTGTAGAGGGGTGAGGAGGGGACAAAGGAGCGAGGGGGACATGTGGGTGCTTCATAGCGGAAATGGATACACACGTCTTGAGAATAGTCATCGGCATCTGAGTCGGTAAAATCGTCTTCCTTATATTTCGAATTTGTGTTAACAACGTTGTCTAAATTGGTGATCAATTGATGCCCTGTCCTTTAAGCTTTGAATTGTAATAAAGTGTAAAACTTATGTTGCATGTTACTTTAAAGATTTGTATTAAGATCTTTTATTTCTGCCTATTCATACTTTGTTATTTCATATATTTGTAATATAAAAAAGATGTGATAAACTTTAAACTTTTGATGTTTAAATTTTTGTTTTTATCAATTGCATTTGTGCCAATTTATACGTTTTAAAAACTAATAAATTGAATCAAAAAATTGAAATTTTACATAACAGCCGGATTTTTAAGTATCAACAAACTTTGAATCTACTTAAAACAAATTTTGAGAGAATAGGTGGCGCCACCTGTATCAACCTCTGTTGACGGGTCAAGATTCAAAGCTGAATAATCATATAACAAATGATTACATAGTTGCGCAGTAAGTTGAAGGGACATTCAACAAATTTTGAGGCATGCTAATTTTTAAACTGTGCAGTGTCGCTGGTTGAATTAACATGAAACAAACTTTGTGAGATGATAATTATATGGAGGCGCGGCTCGTGCGGCACAGCGAGCGGACAAACACCGGTTGATAGATCATGTAACAAACTTTGAATTAAGGCGACTGAAAATACATTTAACAAAATTTGACAAATGATTCTGCTAATGTGTATTTGAGTCCGGTGTTCTAACAAATTTTGTTAGATGAAAATTTGAAATTTCTTAGAGTTAACAAAATGATAATATTGTTCCAGTCATCATTACACAAGATACGCACATTTTGTTTAATATTGATTGCACCCTTTCAGTTCAAGAACTAAGTAGTGATTTAAATTAAGACTATCAATAATCATTTTCAGTGGAGTTCAAAAGTTATTCCAAATCATCTTACTAATTTCAAATTACCAAATCTTTTTATTCAAAAATTATAATATAATAAGAAATTTAGAATTTTACATGTTGCAGAAGATCATACTGAGTTAGATCATTACTGAAGAGGATCATATTGAGGAGGATCGAACTGAGGAGGATCATATTGAGGAGGATCATACTGAGGAGGATCATACTGAGGAGGATCATATTGTGGAGGATCATACTGAGGAGAATCATACTGAGGAGAATCATACTGAGGAGAATCATACTGAGGAGAATCATACTGAGGAGAATCATACTGAGGAGGATCATACTGAGGAGGATCATACTGAGGAGGATCATATTGTGGAGGATCATACTGAGGAGAATCATACTGAGGAGAATCATACTGAGGAGAATCATACTGAGGAGAATCATACTGAGGAGAATCATACTGAGGAGGATCATTTTGTGGAGGACCATACTGAGGAGGATCATTTTGAGGAGGATGTGGAGTAGGCTGTGTATTATCACTAGTTGTAGCTGTTGCCATTGTGGTAGCAGAGGGATTACTCTGAATATTAAAATGTGTATGCATTATATGATCATTTAGAAAAGAGCGTATAGCTATGTATAAGGGATTAGGCAAAATACATACACCACAATACCAAGCAAATTTGCTCAGAATTGTATGTTGTGAAAATTTTCAAAGTTATATTTCAAATGTTTTAACATCTTTCTGTTAAAATTTTAAACTTGTTGTTTTAGACCAATTATCTTCTATGTAAAAGTCTTAGGTGGTTATCATTAAATCTTTTTTACTATTGATCATGTTTTTTCTTCTAAATTAAAATCTAAATTTGAGCTTTGATCCAGCAAATATTGAAATGTCCATATTTACTTACCAAATACTTCAATGTTTCCGCCTGTAAATATACAAGCTTTGATTCTTCCTTTGACACTTCTTCCAGTTGATTCACCTAATCAGGGGAGTATCAGTAAGATCAGCATTATTTACAGAGCTGGGATTTAAAAAATGTAAACATATGTAAACCCAGAGCTAACAGAATCCGGCATAAAACTAAAATCATGGTTAACCTATTTGAAAAATTTTCAACTCTACAATTTTTCTAATTTAAAGCTCAAAAACTCATTTTGAATCAAATCAAATCAAATCTAACTAAGTTGTCTAACTTCAACATTTCAAACACTTCTTTCTACAGTCTACAAAAAAAAGTATAAAAGAGATAACAAGAAATGTATGCTTAAAATCCAAATTATGATCAAATACGACAGCTTGCTGGGACAAGGAGCAAACTGTTCAATTAGTATGACATGGGTACTAAAGGATGTAGTTTACTAAATTAATGAGGGTACGTAAATTAAGTTGTGATATTACTTCCAAAAATGAATTGATTTCTGAAATGATCTTTAAATTCAACATTAAATTGCGAAAGTTGCCTTAAATTTCCATTTCTAAGGTTTTTCTGTGTGAAGACGGAATTTGTTTCAGAATAGAGCATATTGCAGTAAACTCCCGCTGTATTGTTCTGGTTTTTAGTTTCAAATGAAGGGAAAAAACTCAAGCTTGTGCGCTTGGATGTTTTTTTTAAATCTGTTTATTTTGCCCCAAATAAATGTATGTAATGGTAATGTAATGTTAAATTATCTGCTCTCAGGGCTTTTAAGATTTAGAAAATCAAAAGTATTATTTTAAAACTTAATTTAACCATGCTTAGATCTAGATGCAATTTTGGATAGGGGTCTCGGGCTCTCAAATTGTATTTAAAGTTCAAACTGAAGAGATATGCAGATAAAACGCTTTTAGGAAAATTTTCCCCTAGATTTTAAATAAAGGAGAAACGCAAGCCGCCGAAGACTGCTGGCCCCATTTTTTTATATTTGGACTTCATGGACCCCATTAAAACCAGGGTGGTTTGTTCCAATGTGTAACATCAAAACAAAAAAGTTAATTGATGACCTCCTGGAATGAGTACTGCACGTTAAATGCAAACTTAATTTCCTGTATTTGCAAATAGTTCACAACAATCATGCAATATTCCCTCAGCACAACAGTATAACATTAATCCAGAGCCCGAAATTTAAAAGAGTATTGTTGAGCAAAACTCCTGAGTTTCCTTGTTGTGGTCTTAACATTTGTGTAGATTTTGATTCAAGACATTAAAAAATGGAGAATATGAATAATCTAAATAAAATAATATTTCAAAACAAAAACATTGATATTCCCAAAACGGCCTAACCCCATTTGTGAAACCCGGGTTCTAAAACTGGTTTTCACTATGATACCCTGTCTTAAATTTTGGGCTCAGGAATTATAATGTAACCTGAAAATTGCTCACCTTTGACAAAGTACAGAGGTCAGAGTAATAAAAAGCATTACAATCAGAATCCTTGTTGCAGCTGACAGCACAGTTAAACTCACTGGCTTCCAATTGCTTGGCGAGGTCAAACAATACAATTATATCTTTTTTTAAGAGCAGAAATACTATGAGAGCTTTTTAACAAACTTTTTCTTTTCTTTAATGAAGACTATTTTTTTATCAGTGTAAGATTAAGATTTCTTTTAAACTAGAATAATGAGTGTCAATATTGTGTTGCAAGATAGGGTTACCTACAGAAACTTCTTTTTAAAGCAGCTTCTAAATTAACAACGACCTAAACCTGTTTAAATATGAAATTGTTAGAATGCAAGTGTTTTGTTATCAAAACTCACGGATGGGTTTAAGCTGGTAAGTAAAGCTGGTATGTTGCTTCTTACTTTGAATGTGTTAAGAGAAGCATTGGGATTCATTAATGTTTAGCAAATTAAAAATTAAACTTTGGTAATACTATTAAAGAAATAAACCAACAAAGAACAGCTTTGTACCTGAAGTTCATTTTTGGCTTTACACAAAAGCACCACCTTTAAAATCTGACAACAATTTAGAGATAACATAAATTCTTTCAAATTGTGTAAGTTCACCAAATGTGAAAAAATTTAAATATTGGATTTAAAATGTGTTAAAAGTTATGAAAAAGCCATAAATGGCTTTACAGGCATAAGACCTAAACAAATTATGGCTTTTCACAAATTTCAAAACATTAAATATAAGTTGAAATTTTTTCACAATTTAATAATTTTTGCATTACACAAGGACACAAATTCATTACTTAAATTCAATGAAGGGTTTAAGTTTAACCATTCTTATATTTTTTTGTATTTACCAACACTACTGCATAATTCTTTCCTAATGCAAAAGTATTATATGAAATTAAGAATATATTTGTTCCTGTCTAAGAACAGATTGACTCCATGTTGTCTTTGAGATTTTACTGGTTTGAAGGAACCAGAAAGTGCTAAATTAAATAATAATTATTAAAAAGTTTCATCTTGTGAATAATTAAAAATAAATTGTAACAGGAAAAGTTCAACTGATAAATAATAATAATTTAAATAAAAATGTTAAATTATGACTATATGCTATATAATTATATAATCATTGTACACTTTGAATTTCAATAATAATGACAAATTATGCCTTTTTTCTTTATAGCTCCATTAGAAAACAATATCCTGCAAATTTAACAGTAAAGGAAGCCTGCAGGGCAAAATACCACAATTAGTTGATACCTTTCTCCCAAAACTACAGTACAAAAGAGGGATACGATTGATGCCCCTTGGGCAATCCTGAATAGATTGATCCACATATTGCCTTCAGTCTTCTGGCACAACCTAACATCAATATTTGGTTATTGTCTATTCCGTGCCCTAATTAATAATTTTGAATTGTCTTTTTTATCACACAACATTTAAAGATAGAAGTGCCATAACAATTATGATTATTGACCAACTAATTTAATTGGATTGGAATTAGAAATGGGGTGAAAAGAAAGTACTATTTGATAGTTCTATGAAAACTACCATATAATAAATTCTAAAATTCTTATTGGTCGTCTCTCTATAGAAAAGTTTACCTGTTAAACCGTCGGGCTACATCAATGAACTACTGTATTAGACCCAGTATTTAAGTAAACTTATGATTTTCATTAATATTTAATTTATGCCGTGCACTGTGCTGTGTTGCATACTGAACCCTGAAGGTTTGATAGGAAAAAAACCTATCGATATAAATTAGAAAGGTAAATTGGGTTTCCAATGCATGTGGGTTTTTTACTTGCGCGCAACTCCCCGCTAATATCTTTAATTCCACGCAATTCCGCACAGCTCAGAACAATTCTGCGCAACTGAGTTCCATATGGAACCCTATCTATCAATTGATTCTCTTGGGGTTCTACCTTTACTTTTCACTTCTTATTTTTTGTTCTGCCTGAAATATTTGCATGATTTCCAAATTGTGTTAAGTAGATTGAAACTTTCATTTAAACACTTGTGTCTTGTTTTGTTTCTGATGAACATGAAATCAAGCACAATTTTTAGGTAGAAACTCAAATGTCCCCAGCCAGGGAAGGTTAATGGAAAGTCTACAGTGTTAAGTCGTGCATGGAAAAAATTATGACTTGCGATTAAGAATAAATCCACCTCAGTAAAAGCTTAAATTGTTAATAAAAAAGAAGCTGAAGCACTATAATAAAATAAAAAAGCCTATATTTAATCATATTAAATTTTAGTAATAATGTGGTGCCTGAAAGTTAAAGTTAAAGCTTAATTATTTATGGCCTTTTATTGATTTTACCAAAATTATTTTAGAACTTACGATATTTTGCTGATATATAAAAAATAGAATTGTTCATTTCAATGATGAAACTTGCAAAGTAGTTTTTACTGTATAAATTTTGTACTGTTTGCTGGGAATTGACACAAAAAATAATCTAAAAATGATCAAAAGATGAAAATTTGTTAACCTTGTTTTCTTATTCCTTTGTTTAACTGGTCTTGTGAGAGACTTATGATTGGGCCCAATGGGGCCTTTACGGGGGGCGGAAAGGTCATGTGTGTGTGTCTGTACGAAAGAAGTGTGTGTAAGTAATACCTAACCCAAGGCGTGTACTGTAGGTATATACAGTACAAAAGAATCTCGGCATTTGTACTTTATACAGTCTAGGAGTTTACATTTGTGTATTGTTAATTGTTTAATAAAAAATAAGTGTAATGTATATGTATTTTATAAATATTTTATATCATGTATAATATATATCTAAGTAAACACTAAAAATAAAATTTGATTAGAACTCATAATAAACTATTTCTGGTTCGAGCAATATTTTGAATGACGAATACAAATTAATTTTGCTTATACTCTTGGGATGGAAGATCTGTCTTTTTACGCTCAGTAAATTAAATTTGTTTCCTGTTACCCTAACTTTTTATGTTGCGTTACAAAGTTTTTAAATAATTGAAGAAAAATATTATACTCTCTACTTGAAGTGAGTCTCAAAAAACATGATAGATTTTTGTTCACCATGTACGCAGGGTGTGGGGGGGGGGGGGGTGGTTTACCCCCTGAGAATCCAGTGTATGCATTATTTTTTTTTAATGCATTTTCTTGTTAACAAAAAGTTTTAGGCAAATCATCTATTTTTTTCTTAAATTGTCGTTTCTATTATTATTAGCTATGATAATCTTGCTCGGAATTTGAGTCACTTTGTTAAACAGAAAAATCAAAAAGTAGATAAAAAAATTTGAGAACTAAATTTAATAAACTTACACTTTTTTAAACCAATAAACATTATTTAAATGATTCCTAGTTATTTTAAATTTGTAATATGCAGTTATGATGAGACTAAAGAGATGACCGAGTGAATTTATGCATATGTAATGTAAATGACTGGAAAATTTAACATGACAAAATAATATACATACATAATCATGCAAATGTCAATTTCTGTTTTCCTATTCTTTACAAATATTTTTCTGTTTTCCTATTCTTTGCACATATTTTTCTGTTTTCCTATTCTTTACATATATTTTTCTGTTTTTCTATTCTTTACATATATTTTTCTGTTTTCCTACTCTTTACATATATTTTTCTGTTTTCCTATTCTTTACATATATTTTTCTGTTTTCCTATTCTTTACATATATTTTTCTGTTTTCCTATTCTTTACATATGTTTTTTAGAATTTTTACTGTTTTTTCGATTTTTTTATATTCTTTTAAATAGTTCTGTATATGAAGTTTCTGTTATTGATTATAATTTTTTCCAATTTATTTTCCTTTTCTTTATTGATATGATTAAAATGTTGATATAAAAATATTTATAAATAACACATTGGAGTTCCTCCAGAATTTTCCAAAATTGTTTTCTTCAACCAATCATAAATCCTAGTCACCCTAGGTGTAGAAAACATTAGATATTTTTGTCCATAATAATATGATAAAAACATTAATTAATACTGCAGTGGTCATGACAAACCGGTCATGAAACTATTAGTAAGTAAAATCAGAAATATTGTGTTTGTGGCGAAGATTTAATTTCTTGTCTAGTTGTTTATACAAAGGTTGGCTTTGTACTTTAAATATACCGAAATTTACAATACTAGGCTTTTAGGGCGCTTCGCACCCATCTTCTATTTCAATTGTGAACATTTTCTCTTTGTCTACATTGTAAAACAAAAACGAAAGTTCGCGGATTTTATAAAAAATGTCATGGATTTTTTTAACTTAATGAAAATCGAATTTGTTATTCGCTAACTTTTGAAACTTTGATCATTCATAAACCTTCCCTGGGGTCATGTGAGGTCCCACACAAAATTTGGGTCCGATAGGTTGAGCCGTTTTGAAGTTTATTGGGCAAACAAACAGACAAGCAAAGTATATACATTACTAAGCTTTAACCTTTAAAACACATTTTTTTAAAATTTTTATCATTCATAAACCTTCCCTGTGATCACGTGATGTCCCACAAAAAATTTGTGTTCAGCTGTTTTGATTGGATCAAACAAACAAACAGACACCCAGACAGACAAGTTTAATTTATATATAGATATATAGATGGATATTGATACCTAATACCGCCAAAATGTAATGCAATTGGGAAAAGAGCAAATAAATTTTATTAGACATTTATTATTTTTTTTAGACATTAAAAAACCTAACCTTGTGTATATTCCGGGTCGGTTGAACCTAGCACAACCGGAACCACGTGCTACAACTCCAACCTGCGTTGCTCGGACCCTATCGTTCACCTTTCAATCAATCAATCAATCAATCATTATAAACTCTGGTGTTACGTTGAATTGTATCCATTTTTTTTAAAATTAGTCTCTTTAATCTGAATGTTTAGATAGTTTTAAACATATTAAGCGATAAGCAGAATGAGTGTTACTCGATTCCTACCATTCTCTTATTAATTAATTAATCATTTTAAACCTCGGTGTCACGTTGAATTGTGACAATTACCCTTAATTTGTCTTTTAATTCAACATTTTTAAATAGTTTTAACATCATATAAAGGAATTGAGTTTTTGCCACAAACTCAAAGTTGCTCATCCTTATATCTTTGCAAAATGAAGGTGTAAACCTTTCATACTTCAAGCCTAATTTTTCTGATCCAACAAAATTCATAGTTTGAAATATCTGGTCTAGAATATTGACAATAGATTATTTTTTTTCTTTTTGGTGGATTGTAGGTCGCCAAATAAAAATTAACAATTCTGATTTGTTTAAAAAAAATTTCAATTACAGTTCCAACATTTAAAAACTTTGTTCTGTTTAAGTTTCGTTTTAATTTTATTAAAAAAAATGGAAAACTGAACCATGATAGATCGTTTTCGACCCTTTCCGGGCTTTTAAGGTTAGTTTTTTTAATGTTTTTTTTTATATATTTCCTGTCCAAATTTTGACCTTCTATTGAGAAAATGTATGCATAAAACTAACTTGAAAAAAAAGATTAACACGACTATAGACACAATTCGGTGTTTAAAGGTCTCAGCTTAAAGCTAGGGAGTGTTCGCGAAAAATGAAAGGGGGTATAGGCTTACTGCGAAAAATAATCGATGGTGATCACTACTAATTGTACTTATGTCTAATCCGTCTGTAAGGAGAAAATTGTTAAAAACGACTCATACCGAAGAAGTAGCTTTCATACAAATACAGAAAGTTGCAACATTCAACTCGGATTGTAAAAAAAATCTATTTAACTAACAAAATCATTCAAATATTACAACCAATAGTCATCGATTATTTTTCGACACATGTAGTTAAAACTGTATAATATTTTTGATTTAGTTTTTTAAAAATAATATTTCGCTGGCGATAGATTTTCGAACATTCCTGGAAAATATGAAAATGTCGTCTTCATTGTCAAAATCCTCGAAACAGGAATAAATGTTTTGAAAAGTAACTCTCAGATCATAAAGAATAAAAAAAATATTATGAAATATCAACTAGATTCGAATGCGTTGAAAAATTAATAAATTACCGGAACATTTCTTATAAGAGGACCTCCTGAATCTCCCTGACAACTGTCTTGTCCTAAATATTAAGGTAATCTTTATCTAGCTCTAGCATACCTACCCAGGTTTGCATGAATATCTCATTTTCAAATTCAAGAGAATTTTTGCTAATTTTTCATGCATAAGTAGGGTTGTTCATCGTTTTTGAAAACGATCGTGCATAACCACTAAGCAGTCATAAGGCTTCTTGAATGAAGCAGTGAGCATTGAGCCAAAATTATATTTTAAAAGTCCCGAAATTATATTTGAAAAGTCCCCGAAATCAAATATGAAAAGTCCCCGAAATCATATTTGAAAAGTCTCCGAAATTATATTTGAAAAGTCCCCGAAATTATATTTGAAAAGTCCCCTAAATTATATTTGAAAAGTCTCCGAAATTATATTTGTAAAGTCCTCGAAATTATATTTGAAAAGTCCCCGAATTTTTATTTAAAAAGTCCCCGAAATTATATTTGAAAAGTCCCCGAAATTATATTTGAAAATTCTCCGAAATTATATTTGAAAAGTCCATGAAATTATATTTAAAAATGAATAAGAGATATTTAAATGAATGAGAGGACAACTTAATGGAGTTTACAGGGTTACCCACAAACCTTGAATCTTTGATGACGATTAGAAACTTTAAAAAATGATGGTTTGAGGGTAAAATTCTGTCTCGAAATCAGTCTTATATGGGCCGAGCAGTTTAACGATTTGAAATAATGAAGCATGAGCAAGCTAAAATATATATGGCCGGTGAACATGAATGTAAGAAATTAGACGAAATGAATTTCGTATTCAAACTTTGTGTGTAACCCTGTATTCAAAAACTTCCACATGAACCACGATCCCCATCAAATAAAGTTAAAAATTTTTCAAAATAAATAGTTTAAGTAAATTGTAAAGCTTATCTCAAGTGACTCTCCATTTATATATACAAAGGAATTAGGTCTTTGCCACAATTTCTATTATACTAATAATCTCTATGTCTTTGCATCCTGATGGTGTAAATCTTTGATATTCATAGTTTTAAATATCTAAGGTCTACGACATCATTGGTAATTGCACTTGAAACCAATTATTTGAAATCCTTTTCTTTTGAGTTTATCCAGAGCAGAATTTCCTTTGTTTAAATAAATTGCACCTCAAATAGAAAGTTTCCGAGTTTTGTATTTCATCACAAACTAACCGTCTTTTTTTATTAGTTGTATATTGTGATTTATCCTTGTAGTAAATTCAGGAGCAGTGTATAGTTTATCTATCTGTATTATCTATGTTTGATTTAAACCCTGACCGGCCCGACCGGTCAACCTATATTTACCTGTTATCAATAAATTAGTATCGAATCAATCGTTGTTTCAGACGGACGTATATATAGCCAGGGTAGGCTAGGAAGATAGTCAAGATGAACTGGGGAATTAGCTTAGAGAATAGAATATATAGAGAGGAATTTACTGGAAAAAAGTGTAAAACGGCCATTTTGTTGTACTGTTTCATACTGTAGGTGTACTTCACATATTTATGCTATATATCCTGTTGGGCCCTGGAATATCATTTTATAGAAAATCTAGAATTATTTGACCAATTATCATTTCATATAGACTCTATGCCTTTCACTTTACAAACGATGATTTTCCGGTATAACTATAAATCAAATGATGTTTTTATTCACCTAATTCATTATAAAGTTTATTTAACAGTTTAAAAAATTCGAAATTGAAATGAATAGTCTAGGGAACATACTGTATTAATGTATTCTACTGCATATAATTTGTAAACATTTACATGATTTGTACACTTTGAACTCCCTTTCAGGCTGAAAGGGACTGAAAAAATTCATACCGAGAGATTCTTTTAATTCCTCTCTATATATTCTATTCTCTATGGTAATTAGAGTTAGAGACAAGTATTGAGAGAACTCTCGGGACCTAGATTGTTACATACTTTTAAGTTGATTAAATTGCAGTCGAGAGTTGGAAACGTGGTTGCAGTTTTTAACTACACCTTTTCAAATCCTAGAGTGTCAAAGAGTACGTATCAAAGTAACTTGCGCAATTCTACTGCAGGAAAACATGAAGTAATAATCACACTTTCACACTATTGAGCCTAGAAAAACGACAATATCTTTCATTTTACTGATCAAATAAAGGGTTCAAGGGTACCGTTGTGAATTGTGAATCTTTTCACGGAGGGTCGCTTAAAATCATTCTACAGTCTCCTAAATAACAAGGCACTTGAAATTACTTCTATACTGTCTATTTAAAGCTACCTCCTAGATACCAATTGTAAGGATAATTTTCAGGTAGGCCTGTCAGATCCATTTTATTTCCTTGGAATATATACTTGTACTTGGTCGGTCTCATATATTCCTTATTGGCGGTTAGAAGTTCTCTGAATTTCAAGAAAAGTTGCCGATCTAGTTCCCTCTCTGCTTTGGTTTTCCTAGAAATAAACTTGATTAAATCCTGTCACGGATTTTTTTCTTTATAACTCAAAAACGCTCAAGTTTAGTAATTTTTTCAACTTTATAGTTGCAAACAAATTTTTCAAAAGTTTTTTTTTGATGCATTGAGGGTGGAGGACGGTCAAACTGCTTTTGGTATTTAAGGAAAAATTATAAATAGTGCATGACTTTTTTTATTAATAAAGCTAATTAAAAAAAGAATTTAAACCTTCTCTTTTAACTAATAAAAGCAAAGCTCTAATTTATTTTAATGTGCAGGCCTTACAAAGCTGGACTATGGAAATGCATTATACTTGCCTTATCTCAGCTCTATAGGCCAAATCAGGGGGGGGGGTGTAAAACGCCTCTCTCCAAAGACTCCTTACTTGTTTATCACTTCTGTATCTACGTTTTAAATCAAAACTATTTTAATTCTTACGATTGAACTGCAAGATACCCCCTTTTTTAAAAGAAATAAAAATTCAGAATTAAAAAAATATAAAAAAGGAAATTGAGGAAATCACATAGATCCAGACTGATATGCAAGTTGTCATCAAATGTTAAGACCGGGTCGACTTTGAGCTGTCGCAATGATTTGGCCTTTGATTTTACCTCTCAAACTCGCTTATGCTTTTTAGTAATTTTAAAACACTTGATGTTAGCTTTAATATTAAAAAAAGAAAATTATTGGCAAAATTCTGATCGATGTTTGCGTGAGAGCTTGTACTACTTTTGTTTCGCGACCAGTTGGTCACGATTGGTCTGATAAGTAGTCCCTGAAGTTTCCCTGCTTAGATCTGCGCGGTCCCTGGAAGGAGCGATGTTTTCTGTGTGTTCGATAAACTCTGCTCAAACTCTGGTTTATATACTAATGAGGAAAGGCTCCTGGTACAGGCAACTCCATATCTTCTTTCACATGGTGGGCTACGTAGGCCTAAGTTGACCCAACACGACATGCTACGTTTTTACGATAGGGTTTTAGAATGCCATCTCACGGCCACATAATACCCATTCAGGGGTAAAGTTTACAACTTTTAAAGAAACATTCCAATTTTAAACATGAAACATAACATTTATGAATTCAGTCTTTTTTTTGAAGATTTTGTGTTTCGTATTCAAAGGATCCTTGAATATCCCTGAATACAGATGTTTGCTAATTGGTCTGTACAATACTTGTACACAATAGAACATGCTGTGGAAAATATCGTATAATCGATCTCTGTAACTCTCTTATCTCTGGTTCATGGGATAGCGTACAGTCTATACCTCAGTCAGAATAAAGTTGCGGTTCTAACCATACTAGTTCTTTGTTTTGTTTTTGTCCGGCGCAATAACTTAAATGCTTATGATAGTGAACAAGTATATAAGTCATTGTAAAACGTTTGGACAAGATGTGATAGAAAAGATATTGCTTGGAATAGTTACATTGAGGTATAACTTACTTATTCTTATATTGTTTAATTGTACTGAATGTCCCATAATGCATCTAATTATTCTTTGATTTATGAAAAGGCGGGACCATTAAAATGGTACTTAATCCTCAATATATAAACATTGTTATCGTGCATTACTGTATTATAATAGAACTTTTTTGTTACAGATTAAAGACATGATTAAATCTGTTCTCCAGAACTGATTTTGTCCGTTATGAGTGCTAGAGAGACTTTCAAACCTTCCTAATAGAAACCAAACTTGGTAAACCAATAGATAACCTTATTGAACAAAATCACGGTTGAGGTGATCGCGAAACAACTTTAATGCAAAAATGTTTTTAAAATAATGGCGCTGGATTATTTTACCTTAATTTGATAAACACTCCCCGCTCAGCTGGAAGATAAGCCTTCTTCCCCCCACACATCTCAATTTCTGACTGGAAACCAATATCAGAAGAATCAGGATTCTAAATATGAAACCAGGATCAGGGTTCTAAACATGAAACCAGGATTAAGGTTCTAAATATAAAACCAGGATCAGGATTCTAAACATGAAACCAGGATCTAAAATGAAACCAGGATCAGGGTTCTAAATATGAAACAAGGATCAGGGTTCTAAACATGAAACCAGGATTAAGGTTCTAAATATAAAACCAGGATCTGGATTCTAAATATGAAACCAGGATCAGGATTCTAAAAATGAAACCAGGATCAGGATTCTAAACATGAAACCAGGATCAGGATTCTAAACATGAAACCGGGATCAGGGTTCTAAATATGAAACCAGGATCAGTATTCTAAACATGAAACCAGGATCAGGATTCTACATATGAAACCAGGATCTGGATTCTAAATATGAAACCAGGATCAGGATTCTAAACATGAAACCAGGATCAGGATTCTAAATATGAAACCAGGATCTGGATTCTAAATATAAAACCAGGATCTGAATTCTAAGTATGAAACCAGGATCTGGATTCTAAATATGAAACCAGGATCAGGATTCTAAATATGAAACCAGGATCAAAATTCTAAACATAAAACCAGGCTCAGAATTCTAAATATGAAACCAGGATCTGGATTCTAAATATGAAACCAGGATCAGGATTCAATGCACGAAACCAGGATCAGGATTTCAATTTATTCTGTCTTACATTTGCTATTGATACCGTAGTACAGCTGTATTTCATATACAGCCAGATATGAATTAGGAGTGGGGAGTTGAAATCTCTCACTTGTCTGCCAGATGCTGGCCTGTACAGAATCAAACTTACTGAGAAAAAGCATAACATTTTTACATCTGCAATTTCTCTATTATGATTCCGTCTTACTGCACCCGCTCCCCCCCCCCNAGTTAAGACTTACCAAATATTTTGAAAGTTCAAAGATGTACTTGCACTCATCTTGAGTTAGCAGGTTAATGCTTGTGAAGTCTATATTTGTGACCTCAGACATGCATGAATCAGCGCAGAGACCAACCTCCCTTATTTTACCATTCTTATCGACATTTGTAGCACACCACCCAGGGAACCTGGGACCAGATTTTATAAATAACGAGAAGTAGCTGAGCCGCACAGACGTGGTTCAACCACTTATTTTGTGCGCCGGTTCAAGCTTAAGAGAATTGGTTAAACCATGTAGATGCAGTTCAACCACTTCTCTAGTGTGCCGGTTTAAGCTGAAGAGAAGTGGTTGAACCACGGAGATGCAGTTCATCCATTTCTCTTGTGTGCCGGTTTAAGCTAAAGAGAAGTGGTTGAACCACGAAGATGCAGTTCAACCACTATTCTGGTGCGCCGGTTTATGCTGAAAATAATTGGTTGAACCGTGTAGATGCAGTTCAACCATGTCTCATCCATTCATTAAATCTTGTTCCTGGAGTCTGGGTCCGGGTTCTCAGCATTGTACAAACGCTCCACAGCCTGGATATAGTAGAAAAGAATTGTTTAATTCTTCAAGGGTACACGTGAGTCATCGTTTAAAGTTAGTCTCTATTTATAGAGTGTCATGTACGACGCACAATGGTTATTTTCATGTATCAGACAAGCCACTTGAAATAACGTTAGAATTCTTTGTATATACTTCCAAACACTGCAAAAGGAAGAAGTAATTGTTCATTAGTTTTTACTTTACAAGATAAGCAAAGAAAATTGAGTCTTTGCCACAAACTCTGATTTTCTAATCCCTATATCTTTGTAATCCAATTTGGCTTAAAAGTGAGATATTTCGAACTATGAATTATGTTATGAAATACACCATCAGTTGGCAAACACTAAAAATTAGAAAATTTGAGTTTGTTGCAATGAATAATTTCCCCTGTTTGGTTTCACACAAATGACGATATTTTTCTCATTGTTAATCAGATGGAGGACTAAAGGTTACCCTCTTGAATCTGACATGTACTGCAAGATGAGTACTTAAAAATAATGTCGACAAAAAAATATGTTCGCCTCACCATTAGGTTCCAAAGATATAGGGATTTTAAAATAATAGATCGAGGGGTATAATCAGTTCTTGTTTCAGCACACGCAAATATGCCCCTTTAGTATATGAGGCATAAAGTCTGACCGCGTCAACCTTGTTGCACCGGCTAGTCCTGTCCATATAGCTAGGTACAGTACAAGCTGGGACCGCCGGCTCGGAAATTCAAATGTACTACGGCTGCCTGTGAGCAGTGTATTCTGACCTCTAAATCAGTAGTACTACAGGTGTGGGTCTGGTTTTCCTGGCACAGAATTTAAAGGAATTGAGCCAGGTCGCTGAACTGTCTATTGTCGGTTTGAAGGAATTGAGTCTTTGTCTCAAACTTTAATTTTCTAATCCCTATATCTTTGCAACCCAATGTCGTAGACCTTAGATATTTCAAACTATAAATTCTGTTAAACAAATAATCTAAGTTTGAAATATCAAAAGTTTACCCCATTCCTAAGAAATAGGGATTAGAAAACTTGAGTTAGTGCCAAAGACTCATTTAATCCACCAATTCAATGCTAAAGATTTATGAAGGTTTGAATATGCGAATCAAATTTGAACCAGCGGTATGTAGTTCAGAGACCTCTCCAATTCATTAAATTCGGTTCCTGATTTTTTATCTGCACAATTTTCACCGGAGCAATGTTAGCGATTTTGTTGAAATCTCCATATGGCCAATTAGCGATGTTTACGGCATTTTGGTAGTTCGTCTCTAGCATAAACTCCTTAAAGAAACGAAATTTAAAAATAAGCTTTTCAAAGCTTGAAATGATATTCTATTTTTTTTTTTTTTTTAGAAATTAAATTCTCTTTTTCTCAATTATCAAAGTATAGTTTGTTTTTACTTTTTATTTTATTTTCAACATTATTATCATTATTATATTTGTTATCATTATCATTATCATTATTATATCATGAAATTAATGAAATACCTGGCAAGGGGTTTCAAAATCTAAAAGAAGAGGTTTCTTGAGAATACATTGATTATGCTCAACTGTCTTGTTTTCCAAGGACCAGGATTTCTCACAAGGCTTGGCTCGCCCAGGGAAGAAGGTATTCGGAACTGTGGAACAAAACTCTTGTTCTAAGAAGTTGTCAGACCTTTCATACTTTTCTCCCCATCCAGCTATTATTCCACATCCACCCTGTACAAAGAAGAAAAAAGAATTTTAAATTTTTTCGTGAAACAGTAGCTTTTTTTTTCTTCAGAATTTTGAAATGTGTGTCCAGAGCTGAAAACTTTAGAATGGCGGATATCGAGATTAATGCTTGATCCTCTCTTTGTCCTTTTATCGAGACTAACCTAATCTTGTACTTGTATCCTGAAAAGTGTATAAAATTCAACCAATCATGAGTCGTGTATATGGAGCCGATAAATTTAAAATTTTGCGCACCATTTAAGATTATATACAGAACTAGGACGGACTCTCTAATTTTGAAAAACCGGTTTTTGATTTTTTTCTCTACTTTATCCAAGAAAGAACGATTTAAGAAGAAAATCAAAAGTGTGTCCATTGGATACTCAGATTAAGTAATCGAGATTAAGGATATCTCATTCTAAAGTTTTCAGCTCAGATCTATTAAATATGTAACTATTTCCAAGATCTTCTCTTACGTTTTTAGATCTATGCCAGTTCTAACAATAGCAAATTACAAAATCTTTGTGCAACATTATTTAAGCAAAAGGAAAAAAACGTCACTGTTTTCAGTTTTCACAGCAAATTGAACTAGGACACCACCATGGTTAGGAGCTTTTCGTCATTATGTCAGTATTGTTAGGAACAGTGTTTTATAATTTTCTGTCATTGAACCTGCAATTATTAGAAGGTAGGATTTCCACCAGAAGCAAATTTTTCGTGCCAAAAAAGTAAAAAAAAATTGTGCAAACACTGAACGAAAAGTGCGCGTAAATAAATTTTACTATGTACATAGTGAAAAATTATATTCAAGAAGAAAAATTCCGTGTTTTCATTTGATATTTCATAACCTTAAATTTAAACTCTACCTTTGCTAAAAATTTGTATCAGATTTAAATAATTTTCAAACAAATATCAATTTTGACATGACGATTAATTAAAATCTAAAAAAATCAAAATAGGGTATTGCTTTAATTATACATTAAAACAAAATAAACTGAGTTAAAATCAGAAATTAATTTCCAAATAGCCTTCTATCTGCATAAGAAAGGTTTTATTATAAAACATAAATTTTTAAACCACTCTATGAGTCAAAGTAAGTCACGAATCATGTTGTCAAAAAAAAATATTTTAAAAATCCTTTATTACATGTTAAAGAAAATCTAAGAGGCTTGGTTTTTCATATGAGGCTCAAGGCTGATCTGGTGCCTTGTTATTCATGGGTTTTGAATGAAAGATGAAAACTCAGAATAGGCATAATATAATCCCAAGATAGGTAGCTGTTGATTACACAGTTAGTCATTTTGACAGCCAGTCTCCGGATTATACCACGAGGGGACGGGCGTTAAAAATGTGTGCTCCCGTCCGGAGTGCTATCTGCACGGTGGTGTGTAGTGCACTCAAGGCAGTCGGGGGGTTACACATTGAGTCCCCTTTCAGACTTTCACTTAATTCGATTTGATACAAACCTTTAACTCCCCCCCCCTCCCATTTTTATACTCATTAAATCTTACCAACATTTTCCCCTTAACGGCTCCTGCTTCATTCACTTCTGCAATCCTATCCTAGAGGAAAAATTACAGGAATGAATTGGCAAAATTAAAAATAATTTTTTTATCATCTTTAAAAGGTTACTTTCAGGATTTTTCGACACTCGTATTAATATTTATAAATCAATTAATTAATTATTTTGAAAATGTAAAATTATCTTTGTATTCTAAAGTTGTAAACCTTTGATAATCCAAACTTTGATTATAGAGATGAAGCAGTGGTTGAATTATCAAAGGTCTACTTAAGACTGCGACGTTAGATAACATGTTAAGATCAGGTAAATTAGAATTTGTGGTAAATTTAAACTATTCAGTTGCTTTGTTCTAAACCTATTTTTTATCAGCAATACATAACAAAGGCCACTTATAAATGTTAGGCTGAACCTAACATTTGGAAAGTTGCGGCTTGGGAAATTTGACATTTGGGAAGGTGCCACTTAGGAAATTGGACATTTGGGAAGGTGTCACTTAGGAAATTGGACATTTGGGAAGGTGTCACTTAGGAAATTGGACATTTGGGAAGGTGTCACTTAGGAAATTGGACATTTGGGAAGGTGTCACTTAGGAAATTGGACATTTGGGAAGGTGTCACTTAGGAAATTGGACATTTGGGAAGGTGCCACTTGGTCGCCGATAGAAAATACCTAGCAACAATTTTAAAAGAAAATGCCACTTAAATTGCAGACGGTTTATAAGATGACACTAAATTCCCATGTTTTAATTGGAAAAAAAGCAAAAATACTACCAATGAAATATCCGGACAAGGAGGATAGTCGACGAGATCTGGAACTGCTAGGCAGACAGGCCGTACACTGTCAGTAAAAGAAGGCACTGCCTTTTCTAACCTTTGTAGTAACCATTTTGAATTTTGGAATAAATCATGGAAATAATTAGATAAAACCAATGTAATTTTAAAGATTTTTATAAACGGAGAAATGAAAAAAAAAAAATAATTTTATTTAGAACAGTACCTTATTCTGATCGATATTGTGGAAAATAGCATAGTTTTCTAGTTTCAACAGTTTTTAAATTAAAAGACATAAATATCTCAAACATTCTTAATCATGCAACGTTTTAAAAGATCCTATTGTGAATCAGACATGCCACTCAACTAATAGAGGTTCACAGACTCACAGTCATACAAAGCAACCTCTTAACTTTTTAAATGATGGCATTTCTATTTTCTAACCATTGATAGAATGATTTAGTTCCCTAATGAGTAGTATATCCGGAGAAAACATAAACCTATCCGATGTACCCAGATCAGGATGTATCCAGAGCATATCCGGTCTGTACACCAAACCAGCTTCTACAGCTTAAAAAAAGAGTAAAATTATTTTTTCTAGAATCAGGTAATGTTATGTTCTTACCATCCGCCATCATTGATTTTGTCAATTCATCTGAAGTCCAAGGTAATCCCTGTTTAATTAGATTTTTAGCAAAAAGTGGGCAAACATGATCTATTCTGTGAAATTGCAGTACGTTGTACATTGTTAATTTAAATGTTATAAACTTGTATAATGACAAATTCCAGACTTAAATCCTTTTTGCCCCCTCCTCTATTAAGGGTCTACGCAAAGGCTTCACTTTGGATCCCAGTACCAGTTTCATAAACTACCCAACTCTATTTCTTCATAAAGTTTAATGTCTATCTCTCAGTGTAAAATTTAATGGGATTTATCATTTTATATTTCATTATTATAAATATATCTGTTAAAGTTTATTTCCTGTCTGATTAACATTCTGTGTAGAGACCCATCGTTCAGCGTGATGTAGTTCATCTATCCTTTGTACAACTCTAAGCTCCTTAAGTCTGTTTAGTTCGGCTACTGCCTCTGGTAGTCCAGCCTGTGGTTCAAAGCAGTCCAGAGGTAATGAAACCATCCAAAGAAGGTCTCGAGCTTGGAGCTTCTCCTCAATGGTTTTAATGTTCTTTCTGGTTCTGAGATACTCCGGGGAGATAAAGATATTCTGGGGGTGGAGGTTGTATTAGAATACAAGGGAGCTAAGCTCAAACGTTTTCTATCTGGGATCCTGGAGTGTACTGATCCTATTCTCCGAGTTCTCTAATCACAGACAAAGGGTTGCGGGTTTTGCATTGAGTCATTCTTCTAAATATTACACCATGCTTTAATTACTATAACATGTACGTACAACATAGATAGTTTATACTGCATCATATACATTTTCTCTAATCTTGAAAAATATGTAATATGACGGTATTAATCATGTGAAATAGATAGCATCGGAGGAATTGAATTACGTCAATTACTGTTAACTTTTTGCTAAAATTGTTTTAGCATTGATCGATAGTAAGCTTGAAAATAGAGCTTTGGTTCTCATTGAATTAAACAAGTTGAGAAATTGTCTGTGTAGCAATTTCATTGGACTGTGTGTCCTGTAGAACCGCGGGGAGTTAAGCCTGGGGTTGAGATTTGGACTGTGTGTTCTTTAGAACCTCAGGGAGTTAAGCCTGGTTGAGATTTGGACTGTGTGTCTTTTAGAACCGGGGAGTTAAGCCTGGTTGAGATTTGGACTGTGTGTCTTTTAGAACCGGAATATACCTTGAACAATAGAATTCTGCGTTTGTTTCTATACATGTACAGTGGGCTGCTGATAGGACAAATCTACAATATTTACGCATTTATAAAAATGCACAGTGGGCTGCAGTTAGGACAAAACTGTAATATTTATGAATTTTTTTATGATGCACAGTGGGTTCTAGAGTAGGACAAATCTACAATATTCACGCATTTATAAAAAATAAACAGTGGGCTGTGTTTTGACAAAACTGTGATGTTCGTGAATTTTTTAACATGCACAGTGGTCTGCAGAAAGGACAACCTGCAATATTCATGAATTTATTCAACATGCATTAGGACAAATCTTGTATTGTTGTAGTTGTAAAGCATACAAATAAAACTGCATGAAGGATGAATCTGTAAATCAAACAAATTTGTTTAACATGCACACTGGGCTGTAGTAGAACAAATTTGTTTTATTTTTAAAGTTATAAAAATACATATTCTCATAAACTGTCATATTAATACACAAAGTTTACTGCAACACTGTAATATTTTATGAATTTACTTAATTGCACAGTGGGCTGTAGTTAGGACAAATCTGTCATATTAATATACAAAGTTTACTGCAATTATAAAAAATGTGTAATTTTTCTTAAACTTGTTGAACATGCACATGACCGGCACAGTGGGCTGCAGTGTGGACAAGCAATAATGTATACATGGACTTTTTTACATGCAGTACACAGTGGTCTTGTGTGAATTGTTAAAAACCTTGAATTGATGAGTGATCCACCGCAATCCATATTCATAAATTTTAGCAATACCATCCAGGGTAAAGGTGATTTTACAATATTTCCTCCAACAATCCTTGTTCCGGATTTCTAGAATATTAACAGATTAATTATTTACCACTTTTTACCCTCTTAATACGCCATTTTTGAGAGATCAAAAGGAACTGGGTTTTTGCCGGAAATAAAAATTTCTAATCCTTTTATCTCGTAATCTGTAAAACTTTGATATTTCAAACTTAGATTATTTGATCTATAATTTGAAATATCTAAGCGTTATGACATTGGGTTGCAAAATTATAAAAAATTTTACAAAAACTCAATTTCTTTGAGTTTATTCTGATCTTTGCAACCTGATGGTGTAAACCTTTTATATTTCAAACCTAGACTTTCCAGGAATAGAAAAGGAACTTCCAGGAAATAATGCAAAGCAGTAATAAAAATGTTTAATGTAAATATTTGTTTCCTGAGACTTTTACAAAGTAAAAATTAATACTTCTAAAAAAAAATATTATTAATCCGGTAAAATCAAAATGTTTTTAGACGGATTTAATTATGATGGTGAAGCTGAAATTATTGACGATATATGTAAAAACTAATTCTGTTTTTATTGTTTTCGACCATATATTAATTCTATATTTATATACATAGTAAATATCTTATTCCAGCTCGTTGCTTTTAAAGTGTATCATTATAATTGTGCACGAATAAATAGATTAAATAAATAAATAAAAACAGTGTTCAACATTTTCAAGGGATTCTGTAGATTATAAGGACAAGTCCGACATACTTGATAAGAGAAAGGTTTAAAGGGAACTGATGTTGTGAATCTGAGACGCCACTCTACAAATGGAGGCCAGATGAAATAAAGCCTACAGTCCCTTTAGTGAAAATTAATTGAGAAAGTAATTACCTTTTTTTGTTTTATTTTAAGTTTCTCCAATATAAGTTCTTTCTTTTTGCATGTTGTATTGGGTTTAAATGCTTCGCATTCAGCTTGCAGATTTTCCATTGTGAGGTCACCAGCAGAGTACAGTCCGCACGCATCTGCAGTACAGTACAATTCAGTACAGTACACCAGAGTAAAGGTCAAACAGAATATTTACCAGAAAGATACATCAGACCATCATGGCTTTGTTTACAAAAAGAGATTACCGCAGTCTGCAGTTTTCGGGAGAAATGTAAACAAACTCAGTGTTTCAGAAATTTTTCGATTATACATCGAACTGCCGTACACTTTCTTTGTAAACAAAGGTATTGGTTATCAAAGAATTATAATGTAAAGATAATTATTTCAGAGGTGTACGCATCTTTTGTACTGCAGTGCACTGTCTCTGAGTTATGATCAAACATTGCAAACAAATAGACTGACAGAAAGACAAAGAATATTCTGAAATTCCTGCAAGAACGTGGTTTCTTGCAAATAGATGGCAACGTAGAATTTGTACACTCTCAGGTACAGCTCTATTCTTACGTGACATGTGTCAACTTAGTTTTTAACAAAATGATAAATAACACTTTATAAAAAGATCCTGTTATACACTGATGTCAGTATTGTATATGCAATACATTATACAGTACACTACATGCAGTACAGTAGAGTACATGTAGTACGGCAGAGTACATAAAGTACAGAAGAGTATAATATGAAGTACATTAGTGTAAATGCAGTACAGTAGAGTACATGCAGTACAGTAGAGTACATGCAGTATAGTAGAGTATATGCAGTACAGTATAGTACATGCAGTACAGTAGAGTGAGTACAATAGAGTACATGTATAACAGTAGAGTGAGTACAATAAAGTACATGTATAACAGTAGAGTAAATGCAGTACAGTGGAGTACATGCAATACACTAGACTACATGCAGTACAGTACAGTATATGCAGTACAGTAGAATATATGCAGTACAGTAGAGTATATGCAGTACATTAGTGTAAATGCAGTACAGTAGAGTATATGCAGTACAGTAGAGTACATGCAGTACAGTAGAGTACATTCAGTACAGTAGAGTACATGAAGTACAGCAGAGTACATGCAGTACAGTAGAGTATATGCAGTACAGTAGAGTACATGCAGTACAGTAGAGTATATGCAGTACAGTAGAGTACATGCAGTACAGTAGAGTACATGTAGTACAGTAGAGTAAGTGCAGTAGAGTAGAGTACATGCAATACAGTAGAGTACATGCAGTACAGTAGAGTACATGCAATACAGTAGCGTACATGCCGTACAAGAGTACATTCAGTACAGTAGAATACACGCAGTACAGTACAGTACATGATTACTGTAGAGTACATGGAGTACAGTGAAGTTCATGCAGTACAGTGAAGTACATGCAGTACAGTTGTGTACATGCAGTACAGTTGAGTACATGCAGTACATGTATAGTACAGTACAGTACATGCAGTACTGAACATAAAGATTGGTTTCTAGTCCCTGCAAAGAAACCAGGAACCTTCCATACTGACATTTGTTGGTAACAAAAAGACAATTACGAAGGATAAAACTTCAGAGAGAGTCATCATACCAGATTTACATTGAATCGACTACACAGAAAATATAAGTATGTTACAAATTACAAATGATTATTACCTCTGCAATTGAAATCATCATTTCTATAATTATTACTAAAAACAACAGTAAGAAAAAATAAACACTGAATCAAAAAAAAAGTTTTCATTTATCCTCACAATTAAACTTAAACTGTCCGTCTACATTAATTAAAAATAAAAAATGAAATAAAAAATGTTTTTAAAACAATCTATTAAACTTACAAACATATATATAAAGAATTAAATTTATTATATAAATATGTACATTTGAAACTTTTAATTTCATATTTTGGTTAACAGAATTTCAGTAAAAAACTTATGATTTTTTAATGAATTCCAAACACTGTATTTCCTTGTGTGCAGGATTTTTTTTCTCGTATCAGGAAGTTCAGTGAGTATTCCTTTACAGTACTATACTTACTGCTTTATCTATATTATAAAGCTCTTCTCTCATATAGCTATAGCTTTATAGCTGGCCGAATTGGCTCACATTTTTAAGGGGGAACCCACGGGTACCCTAAAAAATCGAAAATCGATTTTTTCAACATTTTTTCTCCACTGTTTTTAAAATTCCAGGGGCAACTCTGGGCATTTCAGCTAGTATTCCTTTACAGGAGAGAAAAGTTTTCAGGTCGTTTAGCATTTTTTGACCGAATAGTAACTCATGTAGTTTAGCATTATTTGACAGAATATGAAGTTCTCAGGTAGTTTAGCATTATTTGACCGAATATGAAAAGTTCTCAGGTAGTTTAGGGTTATTTGACCGAATCTGAAAAGTTCTCAGGTAGTTTAGCATTATTTGACCGAATATGAAGTTCTCAGGTAGTTTAGCATTATTTAATTTATATTGTAATGTAATATTATAATTTTCCATATCTCTCACAATTTTACGCTTAAAGCAGAAAATTTGAAACGAATTAATTTTAAAATTGAAAAATTGTTTTTCATCTTGTATAATATGTTTAAGGGGTCCGAAACAATTTTTTGATAAAGCTGTTTCTGTGTTCCAGGGAAAATCAAATTTTCACTGTAACATTAAGTTCAAGCTAAAATTACTATGTTGTTGAAAAATTATACTAGTTTTCACACCAAAACTACAAACATTTTCTACCCAAGGGGGGGCTCTGCACCCTTGCAGCCCCCCGCCTAGCTCACTGCGTTTCATGATCGCGGTGATCCTGGGCCCATAGTAAAACTGCCTGTCCTATAGCCACAGCGCTCGGCCCATAAATTGTCTTAACCCAACATATCTCCTATCACTTTGTCAACTTGATAAATGTGGCAGCAGCACTCGGCCCCCTAGCCACAGTGCTCGGCTCGAAAAATGTCTTAACCAAGTCATAACCCCACATAATTGTTAATATCATTTGAACTATCTTTTGTTCATTTAAACTATTTTTTAGATTATTTGAACATTTTTTGTTCATTTGAACTGTTTTTTGGTCATTGGAACTAAAATTTTTGTACAATTTAGAATAAATGTTTCAACTATATATTTTAAATTGTTTGAAATCCCAAAATTTTAAAGTCAATACTGTTGTCAATTGTTTAAAGAAAAAAAAAATCAAATGAGCTAGTTATCCTGTTGTTCAAATAAACACGATATATCGTGTTTAGTTTATTTGAACAACAGGATATGACGTTACGTCAATAGTTCAAATGAACAATAGTTCAATTAAATGAACAATAGTTCAAATGAACAATAGTTCAAATGAACAATATGTTCAAATGAACATTAGTTCAAATTAAGAATAGCTCAAATGAACAATAGTTCAAACGACCATAGTTCAATTACGAACAATAGTTGAAACGACGGTATAAGTTCAAACAGGTATCCAACTCATCCGCAAACCAACGCCCATGCCATAATATTAAACTCATTTTTGCGCGGCAAATATGTAATACGATATCGGAAAAAACTCATGCTATGTATTTATATATATCTGGGATTCACTGTAGGAACTTTAAAATCGTTTAAAATGTGATTCTCTTGTTCCTTCATTGCGAATATGATTTTAAATATTTTTAAAATCTAACGTCGTCTTTTATTCAATCCAATTTTGTCGAGTCCAATCCTGAACCGGAAATAGAAATACTGGGGGAAAATCTTCTCGGTCTTAATATAAATCCTGATTGGTTGGCGAATGGTCACGTGACTGAAAGCAGTCCTTCTATTGGTCGCTGCTGCTAGGACGTGGCACAGATCGCCAAGTTATTCATTCCTGTACCCGGCTTCAAATTTTGATATGTTGGATTTTACAAGATTTCTCTGGTTTTAGATCTCTTGTATCGTTTCCGTGAACCAAGCATTTCGGTTTGGATAAATATTTATAGTTTGTTAATTAAGAAATCGGTGAAAAGGGCAGGAAAATTCCTCTTTTTCGTATCAGCTGTTTCAAGAGTCACTTCATGTTCAGAAAATGGGAGTAGGTGTGTGTGTGACTATTAGTGAATATTTGAAATCGAATAATAATGTTATATCCGAAGTATTCTAAAGTTAAACTATTCAATTGGACTAATTTTTAAATTCAAGAAGGAAGTGAATTAGTTGTTTAGATTTAATGTACTCTCATCAAATGTAGAAAGTTTCAGACATATGTTCTAACTATCTACTGATAGTTTCTGAGCTTGTCTATTAAAATGATCTTTCATCCATTTTGACGGTTACGTGCTTATTCCTAGGGAATTAAATATTTTACCATTGGTTTCCTTTTTCTTTAGAGGTTTTGGTTTTCTCTTTTTATAGAGGTTAAGTGTCATCCNCATGCCAACCCCCCCCCCCCTCCTATCAATTTTGAACATGACCATTTATACAATCTTTAATCAAATCTGGCGTTTTATATAGCAGCGCTAAGCTATATTTTTTGGTTTATTTCACATTCTTGGTATTGGTACTCTGAAAGAAACAATGGTTCAAAGCTTTTCTATCTTAAAGAGCCGTTGTCTCTGCAGCTGCTATTAAACCTTCTCCCATCGAATCAATATGTCATAAGTGTGGCTGTTTTTTGTTCTTTAAAATATATGCTATCCAAGAAATACGGGCAGAATATGTTAAGGGAGTTTTACTTTTTTACAAACTAGTTTTAACAATCTACTCAAAAAATGTTGCAAATAAACGGTACAAAGCCTTTGATAGTTGTTTTCAACTTTCCTTCAGTTCTTGAATATTAAAGTCCATCTCAGGTGTTAAGCCTTTTCTCACTATTCAAAACACTATGTTTCTCGAACAACTTTAATTAAACAAATTCTGCTTTTCTACCTTTATTTTTGAAAATATTCATCATTTCTGTCTTTTTGCGCCCTTATATCAGTGTTTCTTAAAGCCACGCTAATATTAATCACCTTGCATTATTTTTTCGGATCTTTATTCACTGTTATTTTATCAAATTTTCGCTAGTACTGTTAATAATTGGTCTTGTGGCCGCAGTGCTCGGCCCCCTAGCCTGTCCTTGCCGCAGCGCTCGGCCCGGGAATAGCCTCAACCTAACCTAATCCTAAAATTATTAAATAAAAGTAATGATAATTTTGCTGATAAATAAGTGGTCATGTACCAAATTGATAGGAGGGGAGGGGGGTGGGTCTAAAAATCGTTCTTAAAGACGGACCCTAAGTCAGAATATACATGATGTTCATACCTCCCCTCTCTTAAGATTACTAGTTTAGTGGATTTGATTGCTAGTCTAGCACCATTGTTTACCACAAAAAATTTACAGGGGTTGTCAATATCTGCCTTATATTGCTGAATGAAAGTTAAAGTTGTTGTGAAGTGCCTCTATTTCTCATCCTTCTTTATTTATTTTTTGATTTTGTTAGTTGCTAAATCTGGTTTCTGGGATTCTTTCGTCAAATTGGAGGGTAAAACAAGTTCTAGGAAGTAGGGGACAAGTTTCCGCAACATTTTGATTTCCTGGATCGGATACAAGGGCTAATTATTATCCAGAAGCTGAGAGGAAAACAATATATTTTGCTCTCAACGCTTAATGTTCCGGAAAAATATGCGGATCAACGGATCCGGATCCAAGTTAGATAATATCGATCAAAAACTGCAAAAAATAAAAGAATTTTTTCCCTCAACCCAAGTCTGAACTATTGTTAAAGAAGATATTAAATTTTTATTTCTGAATGGTTCATCAAGTTTTAGAAACTAATTATGCGAAATAATCAGACAAATTTAAATTCTTTTTTGTTAAATTTATTAAATTTTGAACAAATAACCTGGATCTGTATTTGGGTCCTGATCCATTTTTCCAATGCGGATCCGGATCCGCATCAAAATTAACTGGAAAAAAGTAAGTAAAATAGTTCGAAAGTCATTCTGTTATAATAATCAGTAGATCTTGGATTTTTTTTTCAAATGCGGATTCAGAATCACTGCCGCATCAAAAGTAAAAGGATCCCAAGTACGGGAGGGAGGGAGAGGGGTTAGGAATTTAAATGAATACCTCCTGTGGAGTTATATTTGAAAGTTAGTAATTTAAACGTGTATTTTCTTGTCAAATTTTTCTAAGGTTTCATTGCTTAGTTTTAATATTATTTTATTCACTCTTGTTTGGTAATTAGGCATTTCCAGATTTTATTGCTTATTTCAAGGAAGGGGGAGGGGGATTGATAGGGATTTTTGTCACTGAAAAATGGCTGAGGAAATCTTGATTATAACCGCAGAAAGAGAAAAGGAAAAACTATACTAAACTTCCTCTGAACATACGCATAGGTTTTGTCCTTTTACTCGTTCAATTATTTTAAATCTATCAACGTTATAATCCTGTTTTTATAATTGCGTGATGAGCTGAACCTCAGATTTTAGCTTTCTTCTTGATAACAGCTGAACTTCTTGCTAGTAGAGAGAAGAGAGAGAACCCTTGAAACACCTGTTGAGACGGATACTGGAGTATACTGACACGTAAACTAGAGCAGAGAACTTACAGTTTTTCATTCATCCTCCACGACTCCGCTATTCCGTTCGCCATTCCTCCTTAAATTTCTGTATTAACTCCTGTTTTGATGTATTATTTTATTTCAGAGTGAAATTTGTTAATTCGACTCGGGTCTGTGTCAAACTTCTTCATCATGGGAAATGTGTTCACGAGCCTGTTCAAGGGTTTGTTTGGCAAGAAGGAGATGAGGATCTTGATGGTTGGGTTGGATGCGGCCGGAAAGACTACAATCCTCTACAAACTTAAACTCGGTGAAATCGTGACTACTATTCCAACTATAGGTGAGAAAACGTCGATGAAATTGCGAGAATGAATAAAATCGTATTTAAAGCCCATTCCAGAGGAAATAATTTTCGTGGAGAGGGGAAGGGTTACATGGGAGGGGGTGTAATTCTTGAAAAAATGCACTGTACACTCCTATCTTCTATATTAATTGTAGCTGTAAAAAAATGCAGCGCTTGGCGTGACACGTGTAAATCTTTATATTTAAAAGATGTCCACCATTGCAATTCGTATCATAGTTGCAGCGCTCAGCACAGAAATTGCTTGAATATAATCTGCAACCTCCGGATAGTTATTTTAATAAAGTAAATACAGCTATGCGGGTCGTCTTGAAAACTTTATTTGTCTTGTTTCACGAGCTTTATTTTAATGTCATTGTTTGCTCAAACAAACTGAATCTTGGAATCTTAGTTATTTAATAAGGAAAATATATTGCGAATTATCTGAGAGAAAAGCCATCAGGAGAAATCTGCATATTTTTAATTTGTTTATTTGTATTTGTCAGGGTTTAACGTGGAAACAGTCGAATACAAGAACATAAGCTTCACTGTGTGGGATGTGGGTGGTCAGGATAAGATCAGACCTCTTTGGAGACATTATTTCCAGAACACCCAGGGGCTCATATTCGTCGTAGACAGCAACGACAGGTTAGTTTTCATAAATACCCCTGGTTCAAGCTTATCAATATATGAAGATTATTGGTGTCTCTTCCCCACTGGGGGATAATTATTTTATTTTCTACTGAATCGTATTGCTCGAAGCCGGAAACATTTTCACCTAAAAGCACGGTTGTATATATGTGTATTTTCCCTCCCACATGGTCTGATTTTTGACATGAAAAGGCATGTTTTAGCACCCTTGTAGTAAATGTAAATCTAATGTAAATTTTATTTATTTTTCTGTAAGAATCATTTTATCCTAATTTATCGAAGAAAACTCAAACCATGGGGGGGGAGATTTTTAAAGAAAATATACCCCCGTATTAGAGTATATGACTGGACTACAACATAACTAAGAAATTTACTTTGTTTTTATTTAACAGACTAAACGATCGACAGGGGTAAAATAAATGGAACTCCTTTTAAACAATAACATAAAGCAACGTTCCGGTATAAAAGTGTCATTTTATTTTGTTCCTCTAAATTAGCATGTAGACATGCCGTGGTTCGAACATTTTTAGTGAACGGTTGAGTTGTTTTTAGAAAAATAATTTAAAAATAAATGGAGAATTTTTATTTTTTTTACTTGAATTATTAACCTAATTTCATGATTTTTTCATCCAAGGATTAAAAATTAACAAATTAATAGAATTTGATATTTTTATCTTGCCAAGAAATACAATATTCATAGTTAATGACGGTAAATTATTTTAAATTACTTAGGTAGACATGTTTTCAGTAAATCTCCATTTTAAGAGTTACACTTTCAATTCACAATGGTACCCTGTGTTTTTTTTTTGCATATTTTTATCCTAAAACTTGATGAACCATTCAGAAATCTCATTTTTTCAAAAGTTCAGATTTGAGTTTAGGAGTAAAAAGTTTTTTTTGCAGTTTTTGGTTGATATTTTACCCCTTGGATTCGGACCCGGATCCAGGAAGCCAAAATCTTGCGGATCCGGTGAAGCCAAAATTTATCTTTAATTTTCAAAACAGAAATGACACTATTTGCTCGAATTCAATCCGAAGGTTACCATTGCATGTCCGGGTCACTGAAAATTGTGTTGCAATTAGGTCCTTACTTAATTTACCCTACGTTTTTTCTGTGAGGAAATGGGGTATACTCGGATCTAGCTCAAGTAGAAAATTCGCATAAGAATACGTGAATTCCAATTCAAGAAATATTTATTTAAGAATTAAGCATACATTGACTCGACTTTTTTGATAAATTTATCGCTCGTTGACTGAAAATCTCAATCTCATGTCTAATTTTATCCTTTTATCATAAGCTTATATATTAAAGGGAGTGTTCGGGAAAAATGAAAGGGGGTATAAGGTTTAATGCGATAAAAAGCGCTTTTGATCGCTACTAATCTTCTATCTGTTGCGTCTTTAAGGAGAAAATTGTATAGTCAATTTATCTTTAGCCACATTTGTATATATTTTATATTTCATACTAGTTATGATTTTGTTTTTTAAAATAATATTTAGCTTACAAATTTTTTTCGAACATTCCTGGAAAATATGAAAATGTCGTCTTCATTACCAAAAATCCTCGAAACAGGAATAAATGTTTTTATAAGTAACTCTCAGATCATAACAATTAAAACATATTATGAAAAATCAACGATATACAAATGTGGCGAAAGATAATCGATGACTAGGTTGTAATATCTGAATGATTTGTTTGAAATTAAATAGATTTTTTTACGGTCTAAGTCGTATGTTGCATCTTTCTGAATTTGTATGGGTGCTACGTTCTTCGGTATTAGTCGTTTTTAACAATTTTCTCCTTATAGACGCAAAAGTAAGATTAGTAGCGATCAAACGCGCTTTTTTATCGCATTAAGCCTATACCCCCTTTCATTTTTCGCGAACACTCCCTTTAATGATTATGGAGAAAATGTTTAGTTAATTTATTTAATCTAAAACCTGCTTGCAATGAATTGTAATCTTCTAAACTTTAATCTGTTAGTTTTGGTGAAATATTCTTTTTTTAGGACAAATTATTATTTTTTTTTTTTATTAATATTTCTGCTATTACGTTACTGTTGAAAATGGTTAAATTAAAGGCCTGTTCTTTGTGACATCTTTCTCTATCTTCGTTGGTTTTTTCTAATTATGAATTTTCCCCCCTAGGGAGAGGATTGGTGAGGCTAGAGATGAATTGATGAGGATGTTGGCGGAGGATGAACTGAGAGAGGCTGTCCTCCTCATATTCGCGAACAAACAGGATTTACCCAACGCGATGAATGCTGCCGAGATCACAGATAAACTTGGCCTCCATAGTCTTAGGAATAGAAATTGGTACATTCAGGTGAGTTTAATATTTTGAACAAGGGGTTGAAACTTATTTAACCAGGGGATCAGTTTAACTCTTCTCTCAAGAGGAGGTGGGAACTCGTGAGGTGGGATTAGTTAAGATTTAATCTAGAGAAATGACTTTCAAGGATCGATTTATCTCTCAACATTCATCAAAATTAATAAGATATGGGAAACATTTTTTCTTTTCTAATTTCTTTGTTCTCAGTAATGGCAATTTAGGGTGGATTTCTTCTTTAGTTAGATTCATCAAGTTTATTTGAGTGAATTAAGTTTCTCCATTAAAACGAAAAGTTGATCTGAAATACGATTTATAATGTATATTTTCTTTGCTTAATTATTAAGTTCGGTTTGTGAAAATGATTCCAAGTGTTATAAGACGAATATTTTTATCTTATTTTAATTGCTGAACCCCTTCAATTTAGGTTGAGCATTGTTTAAATTGATTTTATGTAATTAAAATATGTCCCTGAAACATCCTGTCTCCGACAAACCTATGGCGAACAAGTCCAGAATTATTTACCCGCCAATTTTGCCATCGGCACATTAAGTCGTTCTATTAATTTTTCATTGCCTTTTGAAGATTCTTGGTATTTTTTATCATACCCCACATGAATTTTTCTTTATCTTAAGAAAAAGTTCAATCTGAAAAACTTATTTTTCCAGGCTACTTGCGCTACATCCGGAGATGGTCTGTATGAAGGTTTGGATTGGCTCAGTAACCAGCTCAAGAACGCAAACCGTTAATATCTTCATGTGGCGCTAAGCTCCCTCGTTTCAGCGGTCTCTCTCCGCATCCTACCATTCCGGACAGACCCTACAAGCGCGCAATTGATAATTGCGCGTTTATCAAATTTTACATATGGACAACTTCTCCAGTGACTTGGGTTTATTTATCGTGTTATTTTCCCAGATTTTCTTAATTTATTAATAATCAATACAATCTGTTTCTGTATTATTTATTCGGCCAATTCATTGTGATAAATTCCTTTATGGCGGTTTGCAGATCATTTTTACAGTAAGTACGCGATGCATTTTATGTTTAGGAGTTTTACTTGTAATTAAATCTTATATAGAAACTATATTTTTCAGATAACGAGATAGTGAAGAGAGATAAACTATATTTTTGAGATTGACGAGATATTCATAGTTTCGTCCGGGTTAAGATAGATTAGGTCAAAGGACAGTTCGTCATTTGATTTCTTTACAGTCTTTTCTTTATTGTTAACGATGATGCAGTTAAGTTAGGTAGTTGGTAAAATTAAAGGGTTAAATATTTTTTGTTAAATATCTCCTTCAAGATAACTGTTCTCGAATACCTAAAGAAATTTTCTTGAAAATTTGTTGACGTTTTAAGATTATTTTTTATTTTGGAAAGTTAAAATTTTGTTTGTGACAAAGATCAGGTTGTCTAATAAAGATAACTTATCCGAAACAGTGGCGCACGCGATGAGTTGTATTTTTTGCTTAATTGCATTGCACAGATTAATTTCAGAAAAATTAAGGTTGATTGCTCTGAATTTGTAAAGTTTTCGAAACTGATATGTCTTCAGTAAATTTCATAAATTTTTTTTAAATGTATTTTATCTTTGGTATTAAGTGATAGAGAAGTTAAAGAGAAAATTTATATTTGAAGTTTAATGGAATTGCTGCGTTATTGTTAATGACCCAGATAAAGTATGAAATCAATGTTTTTGTTTCGTTCAACACTGTTCATTAATATTTCTGTTCTCTCTGCAAAAGTGACTTGCGATTTTTTGCATTTAAGAATCGAAGGAAAAATTTAATAGTGTTGCCAGTTTTTTCTTGTAGGGTTACTTGAAACTACGGTCCCTTTAAAGAGATATTGCGCAAAAAACTGATAAGCCAATTACCGTGCGTACAGTGGTCGCAAAATTTGGTCTTCCGTCCACGTATGAATGTAAATGTAAGATGAGTTTTTTTGGTAATAATTCTGTAAAAATGGAAAGCAATAGGTTTGGTTACAACACTAATCTTGGGACGATTAAACAGTAAAGAATCTTTAGTCCGGAGAGATGATTTAAGGGTTTTTGGTCCTGGGCACTATTTCCAGCTTTGCATATTTTGAAATCAGATTCTGCAAAATATTAACGAATATTTATGCTTGTGTTTTCATAAATATCTATACAATGAAGACAATACTTTTCATTAAGTTTTTATTTCTAACAAGCTTAATTGAAATGACAAGATTCCAGGAAAGCAATTTTTAGTTGACAGCTTCTCTTAGTATTAATGTAGATCCTTGCCGAGGCTGTTCATTTTATGCATAGAGGTCTCCTTGTTGACGTACTTTTGGGCGGACGACAGTTCTGCCACTAGATGTCTCGCTCTAAATTCTTATCTGATAAATAGATAATTCGTGGTCGACCACTGAGGCCATTCCTTCCATAAACTACATTGGTCGACAACTTGACGTCTCCTATATTGGTCGTTATCTATCAGCTAAGAATTGTAACATGCTACATTTAGTGACCAACATAGCGTCCCCCCAAAGTACGTGAACTACACGACCACAATCTATAGAAAGAACGGGCTATGTAATGTTGAAAGGAATGGCCTCTGTTTGTATGCTGAGGACCTTCCTTCCATAAACTACATTGGTCGACAACTTGACGTCTCTTAGATTTGTCTTTAAAAGCGTACGGTGAAATTATCTATCTTTCAGAAAAGAAATTAGCATGGAACATCTAGTGGCCAACATATCGTCCCCCAAAGGACATGAACTACACGACCACATAGAGAGAACGGGCTCTGTGTAGAATTTCACTGAAATGGAAAGTCGTCTTCATTGTATTGATATATAAGACGATGACTGTATTTGTTCAAAAGCTTTTTATGCTTCGTCAAATCTTATATAATCCTACAAAATCGAAACAAATTTACCATTATTTAACTATTCATAACATTTCGAAATAAGCTTGACCGACTTGACCTCGTCTGTTTTTGAACTTTGTGAACCTAAATTAAACTATTTACTATACGTACTATACATATAGTCATCTTGAACTTATTCACATTCCCTTTTCCTAATTGGAATATTTCTTCAGAAAATTGTAATCTCTATTTAGTTTTTATTTGAACCCCTCTTGTAAATTTCAATGGAAGACGTTATTAGAATTGAGTGGTTGAATCGTCGTCTTGCATAAAGACTAAGACAACCGTTGTTAGGTAGCCGCTTTATCGTCTTCGAATTAAGGACGACGACATATGATTTAAGGACGATCAAAGGATTGTGTATTTTTCGACCTACGAAAATCCACTATATTACACAGCCGACCTACTAGCACGTGGTTTTACAGTTGCTATATGGACTTGTGGCCGCAGCGCCCACCCCCTAGCCTGTCCTAGCCGCTGCGCTCGGCCCAGAAATTGTCTTAGCCCAACCTAACCCTCAAATAATACAAAACTAAACAGTTGGCGTAGGTCCGATATTGCAGTTTGTCGGAAAGTTAGTAGGTCCGAAGTTCAGTAGGTGGGATGTTGCATACAGACGATGTAACATTAACCGATCGAAGTGGAAGAAACATTTAAGAAAAAGGAAATCAATTATTAATTGGAACCAATTTGTACTGAATGAAAGACAACATTAGAGAGTGGTTTAAATCCTAGTTCCTCTTGCATAAAATATTGCAAGACAACTATAGAATGTACAGAGTGTCATATTAGATTATCTCCTTAAGATTTAACGCTAAAATAAAACCTTAATACTCGAAAAAACTAGTAATTTCCGCAAGAAAATTCTTATATTAGCCTTATATCATTTTTCAAAATGATTCTCTTTTCTTAAATTTTCTGATTAGTCCCGAAAATCGTAATTTAGACTGATATGACGATCTAATATGATGTGGGACACCCTGTAGACGCCCCGTCGTCTTCGATTTAAGGACGACGACATTAGATCAAAATTTAAAGAAATCGTACAATCTCTTAAAAAAACGAAGACAGCATATCATGAAACATAAATGTAATGTTAAATTGCCAATCAGTTTTGAGATTTTCTACAGTGAAAGCCTTAATAAAGAATACATCGGAAGAATTTATCAAATGTCGTCTTGACAATTTTCCAATGAGTTTTATTACGTAAATTTCAGTATTTGTGAAAATAAATAAATATTCATGAATATGCGGGAACAGTTTTAAAGAGTTCAATATAATCATTTAATTAAAAAACTAAATATCTGCAACATTCCATTATCAGAAAGTGAAGAATACGACATTTGATGAATTCTTTCGATGTATTCGTTATTAAGGGTTTCACTGTACAAAAAAATACTAATATAGAGTAGTGTGCTGTACTTTTATAAAGTAAAGTATTATTTTAACAAATAAACAAACTTAATACAGAGTTACCAATTCAAATGATCGATGAGAAATCAGAGACGATTTACGGAAAAAGTTTAGTCTTTTTTCTTGCATTCAAAGTTCCGTGTAGACTAAAATTGGTTAATCATTTAGAAATTCATTAAAATACTCAATGCAGAAGATGCAGAAACCAAAAATCAAGCTTCAAAGCGTTATATAATAGAGTTTTTGGTCGTCTTTATAGTCTCATCTTTTGTGGGTGACTCTCAGTTTGACCAAATTATTAAAACTTATTCTTTTTATTAGATGTATGGAAAAAAAGTAGATAGGATACAGGTTTATTCATAATGGTGGGGCCTTCAGAGACGACAATATAACTTTAGTATTTGCTCTCAAAACATACATTAAACCCAAATAGATTCTAGTTCAATAGATGGCAACGTATAATTTGTACACTCTCAGTACAGTTGTATTCTGTCGTCACAAGTGTCAATTCAGTTTTTGTGTCCGACAAAATTATCAATAATTATCAATAATTTTAGAAAAAAGTGCTTTTCTTACAGTAAAATAAGTGCAATTTCATGTGTTCTTTAGTTTCTGTTTTTACATTTTTTTATTTAATCTTAGAAAACATGTCAACTAATGTAAGACAATTTCGTTTTTCTTGTTATATTTGACACTTGTGACGTTATTCATAATTGGTTCATTTCTTTGTTGCCATCTATTGTACTTGAAAATCTATTTGCATTAAACCTACAGAGTGTCCATCTCGTCCCAGCTCTAGATCGGGACATTTTTGAAGCAATTTAGAAAGCTTGGAGAAGATTGAATCATTTGAAAAATTGTTGAAGACCAATTTAAAAATATCCGTTTGTTTGGGTTGGTCTTGAAACTCGAGATAATCTATTCTAGTCAGAGTTAAGGGATCGACTTTTCACAATGTTCTCAGACTTTCAAGTCCTGCCTGATACGTCTCATTCTTTGTGGGTAACCCTGTCTTTGCACATACACATTATTACAGAGTTTCTTATTAATTGTTTGATAAGAACCGATCAATAAAGATACTGGTCCAAATTCGTCTATAAGGAGTTAACTGCAAAATCCTTCTCGTATGTGCAGGTGCAGTCATCAAATCAAATTATTTGAATTATTAGTTCTGTAAATTCTATCGTGACATTTTTGTTTATGTTACATTAATTTTGGATGTTAAAAATTTTATAAAAGATTAATAATTTTGCAGAGTTCCACGTCTTTCAGCAGATTTTACATCTAAAATGTTGGTTTCTGGAAAACTGATCACAGCTGGAAACATTAGTGTGGAATGTGGATATCGTTAATACTCAATGCTGGGAACTTCAAAGAAATTAAGATTAAGTCTTTGCCACAAACTCAAATTTTTGATTCCCTATATTTTTACAACCTGATTGTGTAAACCTTTCAAAGTAAAATTATTTGATTCAATAGAATTCATAGTTTGAAATATCTAAACTCTATGACATTGGGTTTAAAAAATTTAGAGATTTGAATTCAGAGTTTTTGCCAAAGACTCAACTTCTTTCAGAATAAATGCTTGATCTCTACAGGGTATACACGACAACCACGGGAAATCAAAGTGGAAATAAAGAAAGCCAGAAATCTACAAAAGATTCACAATATTAAAGTTCCGACTGAAGAACGCATCGTACTCAATTTTCACTAGTTAAATATTTGGAGGGAAAGTCAAAACTTCGAAGTCGAAGTAACTTACATTTTTTTGTAAGCCTTTCCGTATCTTACATCTAACAACTGCAGACAATTAGACTTAAGTTAGGTTATCCAGTGATCATTTCAAAATTGGATTTTAAAACATGAACTAGTGAGTGAAAAAAAAACGTTTATGTTTGAGCAATCAAGTACAAAAATATTTTAAATATTCATAAAATATCTCAATATGATCTACGCTTAATTATTTGTAAGTATATACTCGAAACTATATTGTGATATAGAAATGTATTCGCTAAAACTTTTAAAATTACATTTGACACGTCAGTTATTCAGCGAGTTTATTTTTAATTCGATATTTTTTTTAAAAGCTTAGTTTTAAAACTCCCGAAGATAGAAAACACCTAAATTTTATTTAAAGGTATAAACAAATTTTAAATTTTAAATTGTTACAATTTGAAACATCATTAAAATTAGACACCCAAAGTCTAAACACATAAATTTCTTTTTAAGGTAAAAACATTTAAACTTTGAAACATTTAAACATCACTGAACAATTAGCTTTTTTTTTCTAAAATGGAATTTATTTATTTTTTACATAAAATTCAATTATATCTGTACATTCTAAAGAGTAGATTTTAAAATGTTGATGTTTCTTTCCGAAAATTAAATTTAGGTTTTTTTTTCCTTAAAATGAAAATTGGTGTTTTTACACTTAACTAAAATTTAGGTGTTTTGTACTTTTATGTGTTTCGGCACTTTGGGTGCTCTGTGTTTAGGTGTTTCGATACGTGGGTGGTTTGAAGTGTGGGTGTTCTGGTTAAAGGTGTTTTGTTCCCACTCCTAATTTAGGACAAAAGGTTTAGAATTGTTAATTGTCCTTTTTGGCGAGAATAGTTTCACTCGCACCGGGCAGAGAGAAGAACTCAGGAGTTCGATTAGAAATTAAAGTTGGTTAATGTTTAGATCTAGAGTTTATTTTTACTACAATGATAACCAGAAAACTCTTAAAGCGGAAGACGACTTATAGCAATACTTAGGTGTATTTGATGTTGTTACAAATTTAAATCAAATTGTTTTGCAATGCACTTTTTTAAATCACTATTTAAGTGAAATGTGTCTGTTTACACTGCACACTTGCTGTGTCCTATATGCGCATTAGACTATTTAAAGGCATCACTTGACAGTAAAAGTCGTCTTCCTATTTCAGAGTTTAAAATTTTCTATGGCTCTTATATGGTCTTTATTATATGTTAATTACTCATCTTTCTTAAAGATCTAGAGAAAACTCCTAATACCTCTCTAAGTTTATAAGATACTAAAAAGGCGTCCAACATTTCAGAAATCTCAGGTTTAAGGCACAATGGTTTTATGGAATTGAGTCTTAGCTACAAACTCTGCTTTTCTAATCCCTATATCTTTGCAACCCAATGTCGTAAATAAAACTTAGATATTTCAAACTATGAATTCTGTTCAAATAATCTGATTTTGAAATATCAAGGAATTAAACCACCAGGATGCAAATATATAGGGACTAGAAATTTTGAGTTTGTGGCAAAGGATAAATTCATTAAACTATAAATGGACGAGTTGTCACTAAATTTCTAAATGTTTATTGGGACACACTAGGTATTAAAGATTCAAAGCTTTCTTAGTTATCTCTCTTTTTACTCTCCGATTAGAAAATAACATAATATTTTATTAAAGAAAATATTAAAAAGATGCCGATTATACATATATTTCAATTGAGATTGTGACATCAATATATTCTAGATTATGGCGTCAAGATGTTGGTGAATCCGCCTTCAAAGAGAGATGTAACAAGCCCTTCTAGTTTTAAGTGATAAAGGAAAATTAAAGAACTAATACTACAATCACAAACCCTCAGAATACTGACAATTTTTTATATGTTCAAGTTTTAACAGTGTTCAATTAATAGCTGTTTCCGCAGATGTATTTGTTTGCGCTGAACTTGAGATGATAGAGTTTAGGAACTAACCCTACGCACCCCGGAGCCACCTTCGATCGTTCGTTCTCCCGAACTCGGCTCAGTTTTGTTCTACACGAAGCATCTAGCTCATGTAGGGTCGTTAGACACGCAACCTGTTTATCGTATACGCTCAGGGTTGCAAGCAGTTTCGGTGGACTTTACGCGCGATAATGGCAGTCTCAGAATCCACCTACTTCGTTTTTTTCGAGACTTAGCATGGAGGCTGGGGTCATGTTAAATCTCGGAGGAGGAACGGGAGTGGCGTGGCCTCGTGACCTCAGAGTTGGTTCTAAGCATAAGAGGCTGGGAGAAAGCTCGAAGCAGGTTTAGATGTCAGGAGGTCACGCCAGGCGTGCAAGTCTGAGCGGGTGCCCTAGTCGGCGCGAGCCAGGGAGAAGGATCAATCAGCTGTTGTCTGGCACTCAGCTGTTCAGGCTCTACTGCCTTCGTACTTATACAAGGAATGACTATATAAAACCTAATTAAGCGTTTCAACAATTTTCCAATAATTTGACATAGCTATTTAGGAAGTGATGGTGCAAGAGAAACGGGGAAACCAATTTGTTAAATAACATCCAGGTATCATAATAATAATAATAAAAATGATTTCTGCACAACAAGTACAAAATCCATTGCTTGCACAGTGAGTTAAAATAAAAACATCTTGTAACCTGCACACCCGCTTGCATTGTTTTAACCAATTGAAACTTACAATGACACAAGGTCTGGTGTGAACGGACAGTCGTTTAAGTCGTTTTCAAGTCTGTCTCGTTGTCGTTGATGTCTACTGGGCGAGAGATTTTAATATTGCGTGTGTCTCCTCCGCTACAGCTGTTAAACAAAACTCAAATTGAGATCTTGTCTGAACCATTCCTGAACATGAACACGTATTATTAATATCTGAACATTTAACAAATGTTCAATTTAATCTGAACATATAATAGAACTTAAAAGAAATATTATATCTGAACATTTCTATTTCTGATAATTGACTCATTTACTGAGAAATGTTGAGTATAAAACTTAGATCCTACCAATATCTTAAACTGAGAGACAACTTCCTTTTTAACTTTCGCTTTTAGTTTGAAGACGTACAGGGTGTCCCATGAAACATGACAGTTGGTGAATAATTTTGAATGTCGTCTTCCAGATACTGTATTAGATATCAAAGACTTATCGCAGTTTCATCATTCTCTCTGGTATAAAGTTACTTAATAAACTAAGGATAAAACTTTTTACCAACTGTCGTTTCGTGGGACACCCTGTATATGGTTACTCACAAAGAATGAGACTAAACAGACGACCTGTCCATTGATCTGAGTACTTACCACTTCTCTGATCTCTGATATGTTCAAGAGTTGCCGCAATATCAATTTCCTTTGAACCTTTACACATCCTGTTAAGAACCATATCCAGGAGAATATACGTCCCTGATCTACCCACTCCATCACTACAAAATAATAATTATAAAGGAACTGAACACTCGACACAAAAATATATTTTCAGGGATGTATATTTTCTCGAAACCCCACCCCCCTGAAACTTTTTTTCTTTCCAGAATGTATTTATGTTAAATTATTTTAAGGGTTTTTTTTAGCTCAAATGAGGAAATAAATGAATAATCAAATAATAAAAATGGATAAAAAAATTTAAATTTAATGTCCAGTTTTTCCTTTTTTTCAGATTAATAAATTTCTTAAATCTTAAAAAATCCTCTGCTGCTCATTTTTTACTCTCTTTATCTTTGTCATCTGTATTTTTAAGATTAAAACGATTTGGTCTAACAGAACTTATAGTTTGAATTATCAGTACATCAGTTTGCAAAGACACAGGTTATTAAAATAATTTTTAAATAAATTTAAAATCTATTTAAGTGTCTAACCTGCAGTGTACGATGATAGGACAAGATCTGCCCCTGTAAGACTTGTTAACTTTCCTAAATAAATCAGAAATTGAAAATATGCCTTTATGTAACCCTAGCTATAGAAGAAACAGACCTTTGCTATTTTTGACCTGACATTGGAAGAGTTTCCAATTAAATGACTAAATAATGAGAGCAAATATATATACATTTGGTAATATTAACCCATAAATGCCCTGTATATCGCATTTTGTAGTATGTACAGCACAAAAGCTAAATAAGTTCAGTATAAGGTTGGAAAATCAATAGGTTTGTTTTTCTTTAGCTCGGTTGAGTCAGCACCAACAAAATAAAAAGTCAAATATATACTAACTTAAAACAATAAATTGAGCTTACAAAGACGACATTTCATATAAATTTATACAAATAAACATGAATTCAATTGTAATGGTTATCCAAAGATTATCAAGTATAATAGGTGGCAACAGAGAAATGGACCAATTATACACGACGTCACAAGTGTGAAATATAACAAGAAAAACGAAATTTTCTCACATTAGTTGACATGTTTTCCAATATTAAATAAAAAAGTGTAAAAACAGAAAATAAAGAACACATAAAATTGCACTTATTTTACTGCAAGATAAGCACTTTATTCTAAAATTATCACTATTATTAATAATTTTGTTGGACACAAAAACTGAATTGACACTTGTGACGTCAGAATACAGCTGTACTGAGAGTGTACAAGTTCTACGTTGCAATCTATTGAACTAGAATCTTTTTGATAGTTATCTAACATTAAAATATCAAATAAAGTGCATGGTATAAATACTATAGAATAAATATTTAACACAAATTTTTACTAATCATCACAAAATAAATTCATAAGCATTGTAATAATAATATATTATAATGCATCAACATTTTAAAAGTAAAATATGCTGAACAATTTGTTTCTAAATCTATATGTACAAAATATCGTCAGAAGCCAAATCAATAGGGATTTTATCTCAGGTTATACTATATTTTAAACAGACAAAATAAATGTTTTATTTGGAATATAATGTTGTTTTGTCTGACTGTTAGTACAATGTAGTTTGATAGTTGGGTAAATTAAACTTAAATTGACGAATTTAAGAAATTGCGCATCGGGTTGTGAACATTTATCATACAGTAAAAGATTTTTTCCTTAGCTTTCGATCTCGCTCCACGTTCTTCGTATACCTTGAGATATCCAGGTTCATCATTAGGTCGCAGAGCTGGTTTCATTTTACAAAGAGTTCTGTGCCAGGGGTTGACAAGGAAGGGTTGTGGGGGGTTAGGGTAGGGTTTTATATCTCTCAAAACCATCACTTTTATGACTATGCAATCAAAGGAAAAAGATCACAAAGGTCATAAAAATGAGAGCTTGGGGAGACAGTTTAGAGATCTGTGACTGTTGACGCTGGTTTGAAGTTTTCAACCTTACAAAGAGAAAAATCTACGAAATTTTACAACACTGAAAACATGCGCTCGACAATCTTTACAAGTTTTTTCTTCTAAATTTTAACTCAGTTCAAAAACCGGTCTCCGTTAGGATGTTTTCGTAAAAGATTTGGACGCCATTTTGGTTCTAGTTTTGATTATTCTCAAGAAAAACTTTAACCTGCCCCCCCCCCCCATCCAATCCTAAAATTCTATAGTTTTCAGGATTTACAGGATTGTTAGTTTTTGACCTATTATTATCTTAATGAAGTACAAGTTTTGTTACTTTGAATATTTAATGACTTTATGAACCCTCTCTTAAAAAAATAGTTGTTTACAGGTTGCAGAAAAAAAAATTTGGTTTATCAAATATCTCGCTAGATTAAATGTGGGTTCATGTTTTAGGCTTAAAAAGTTTAAAATGTAATTATCAAAATGCAAAAATATTTTTTGGTACAGAGAAAAAAACTGCTAAACATTTTCTTTGTGAAAAATAATTTTTTTTCGAAGTTTATTTGAACTGGAATATGTTTATTCTATTCTGTTTGACAACAAATAAAAATATGGACGAATTGAAAAGATATAACAAAAAATCGCGAATAATTTCAGTGCAAATCTGCACCTTATCTTTAAAATAAAATATCAAAAATGTATCTACTCTTAACAAATTGAATGAATAAAAAGTTTGAATAGAAAATTCGATCTTTCTTTGCCATCATTCTTAGATTTGATAAGAATCGGTCTATCAACTGATTTTGTGTGATAAAATTCTTTTATATATCAATGTTTTCTAGAAACTATGGAATTAAATAGAATTAACATCTTCTAATCAATTTCTTAAGAAAAAATAAGAATTCACTAAAATGTGTTTTGCGGATGGATTTTTTTGTTTATTTTATTCAATACTTTTCCATCTAAGGCATGATCCCTGCAATTATTCTTAAAGGGACTGTAAAGGAAAAATAAAAGAGGGTATAGGCTGAAACCTGAGAATCTCAGGAGTTGATTGAGACCTATCAGAGTTCTAATTGATGTTCCTGTCTAGAGAAATTGATATAAAACCGTATCGAAGTTATACCAAAACCTATATATATGGAAGATTTATTTAATTAAACAGATCATATTTAACAAATAGGCAACCAATCTGAAAACAACGATATCCCAGAGGAGCCTGAGAAACTCAGGTTTGCTTCTTTTATTATTTGAATTTAATAATTTTTCATTTTTAATAGATATAATTGACATCATTTATACGTCCGAATCATGAAACCAGAACTCCAACCAATGGCAGTGTAGTATTATTTGTCACGTGTCTCTGTCTGTATCACGTGACCAGTATACTGCACCGTTGCACGGACTTTTATATTTTACATATATATACGTTTTGGTATAATTTTGACACAGTTTCAAGTCAATTTCTCTAGACAGGAACATCATGTCTTATAGGTATCGTTCAACGCCTGAGATTCTCAGGTTTCAGCCTATACCTCCTTTCATTTTTCCTTTACAGTTCTTAAGGGGTTGTTTTACTCCCCTGTATATCTTAAATAGACCTTAATGAAAGTAAATTTTAAGTCAAGTTTATTAAAATGCTTTTTAATCCAGATTTTTTTCCTGATCAGAACATCAAAGACAATAGTATTAAAAAAAAAGATTAACCCCCCTTTTATAAAATTGTTGGAAAGTTTTTATACTGTTTTTTTTCGTCCGTTTCTAAAAACATTTGTTTTTTCATTTTTGTGAACGATCAAAGTCATTTGTCCAACGTTAGTTTTTTTCCAACCGACACAATTTTTCACGAAAATGTTCGTTCGTTCTCAAAAATGATACCCGTCTCTAATAACACGTACATGAAAGTACACTTTGTACACGCGGTATGTACAATGTACATGAATGTACGCTATAGGTAAAAGTTTTACAACAACAAACCAGAATACTACAGTAGTACAGCATGCTCTTTACCACGGAAAAGGTTCTTCAGAGTTGAGAACTTTTAAATGGAGTTAAACTCATTCTCTTCTCGCGGGGAGATTACCCGCTCTTTCATTGGTCAAAACTTTTCAGATTTGACCAATGACAGATTGATACATCCCCTCGGGGAGAGAATAGGTTAAATTCATTTTTGCAAGTTAAAAGTTCTCAGATCAGATGAACAGTTATTTAAAAACATGAAAGCTTGCGTTACAAAGTAAAGCAAAGCAAAGCAAATGTTTCATGTTTTATGAATAACATTCAACACAGAAGTAACTTTTATCCGCTCATGTTTAGGGTAATTAGGCTGGTAGGGGCAAAGGGGGTGAACATATTTAGATTTTTGGAATTATTATAAATAAGGAAATGGTAGAGGAGGGAAGATGGTTGATTTTTTAATAAAAAATTTGAATATGTGGAATAGAATTACTCTGGCACAAAATATTACAACATAGAGAGAAAATATGCTAAAATTAAATATTTAAATTATTTTAGCATATTTTAGGATATTTTTGTAAAAATATTATACAAGGGTACGATACAACAATTAATAGAACATTTAATTACAAATAATTTGAATCATAAATAAGTAGTTTTTATCTAATTTCCTCTACAACAATATATTTACTGAAGGAGCGGAAATCTGTTTTACACGGATTCAGAATCCAAAAATATTTTCCCCACTTTTCTCTTGAAAACATTATTTAACAATAGATATCAAATAGAGCTGGTCAAATACAGGTTGTTTCAATATAAATGGGAATAAAATTTAAATTTAATTTTGTTATTTTTAAAATTAGGGCGGAAATATAAAGATTCTTGTCTAGATTTCAATATATCTATTAAAACTAGAATTGTCAGAAAACTACAATTTTTTTATTTAACACCTGATGTCATTTCAACAAACCGAAAATAAAAAACTATCTTCAAGATGTCTCTTAATTCCCATTTTTATTGGAACACCCTAGAACTAGGTCGATCGATAAACATGAAACTTGGAATGTTTTAAACAATAATTTATTTTCTTCAATTTTAGCTTCATGTTTATTGAACAACTATGTACTAGACGTTTTTCACGTACAACATAATCAAACAGCTGAATTGCAATACAATTTAAACTGTTTCTTAAACAAGTTAGTTTTATAGAACCTATTTATTTTTCTAACATACCAAAAACATATTAACGGTTAATATATCTCTAAAAAGAAAATATATAAAGGTTAATCTTTAGTCTCCTACCTTCTAAACTCCAGGAGTGATTTAGTTGAAACCGGAGTAGCTCCGTCCGACCAGGATAGGAAGTGAAATTGTGTAACCGTCCTGGTTTCTCCGGTCTGTGTGTTCTTTAGATAAAGAGATCTGACGAGATAATCATCGCACCAAACATGCTCCGATACAAGGTGAACCTAAACATTAGGATTTATAAATTTCGTCTTGAAAAATCCCGTGTTTGATGGATCTCACTGACTAACAAACTGTTTTTTATATATGTAGAGAAGATCTGGAGAAAGAAAGTTCTAGACCGAACCTGGAGAAGGTTGGGTTCGATTGAACCTCAAGGGTGTGTATTCCGATGTAAACTGAATACTAAATGGTTGACGTATAGATACATACATACAAAACTCATTCTCCGGAAATAATTGGTATAATCCTCTTAAAACTAGGAGAGGGGGAGTGAGAGGGGGTCAGGGAGTGGGAGAAAGGAAGCTCGGAAAAGGGAAATAACGGGATATGTATAAAGGGAAGAGGGAAATAATGGGAAATGTATAAAGGGAAGAGGGAAATAATGGGAAATGTATAAAGGGAAAAGGGATATGTATAAAGGGAAGAGGGAAATAATGTGATATGTATAAAGGGAAGAGGGAAATAATGGGATATGTATAAAGGGAAGAGGGAAATAATGGGATATGTATAAAGGGAAAAGGGAAATAATGGGATATGTATAAAGGGAAGAGGGAAATAATGTGATATGTATAAAGGGAAGAGGGAAAGAGGAAAACTAGGAATGGAAAAATTTTTCAGATTGAGAGGAAAGATCAAATTGGAGGTTTTGTGAAATACCAGTATTTTTTGTGGTGGTTGTGGGGGGGGGATTAAAGAAGCCATAAGGGGTGGGGGGTTATTTCCCTAAATACTCTGTAATCAAGTGTATGTAATCCTACCCTAGTTCCCTGTAATTATTCATGTACTCCTAACATTCATAATGTCGGATCAACCCTCTTCCAATATCCCCCTCAATCCTCTTTATAATATATATCAATATGGTTTCCCACCCTCGGCTCTCATTCTCCGAGATCGGAGACTGAATGCAACCTTGTCAAAAACAAGAATATGGTTTCTGTTGATACTTATATATCTCATCTCTGGAAAGAGTCTTTCAATCCCAATCCTTTTCATTCTTTCACACTCTCGAGTATTCATAATATTTGTTTAGGGCTTCTCATATTATCTGGTACAAGGTGGGTAGGATTCTTATAAAGGCTAGTACCCGGAGCAGGATTCCTTCTCCTGCTATCTGTATAGTACCCTGAGCAGAAATCCTTCTTCTACTATCTGTATAAAGATTAGTACCCTGAGTGAGAGTCCTTCTCCTCCTATCTTTACAAAGACTAATTTATACCTCGTATATATGATATTGTTGTGATCCTTCCTCTGGCCAGTATCTATGTGCTAGTTGATATCCATTCTCCGCTAACCTGAACAAAATACGGGTTCGGAGATAACATAATACATGTTGGTACGATTTATAACAAATTTAAGCACTCTGAGTATAAAAAGATTATGTTACTGTAAGTACTAAATATTTAATTCTTGTCAAACGTAAAGTTTAAATTATATATGAAATTAAATCTTGAACAAAGTCTGGAAATGAAAATATCAATCGATAAATTAGGATTTGATGAATATTAAAATCCGCGGGAAAATTTGTGAATTTGTAATCCCTAAAACCGGGAAATCTGGGAGATTTGGAGGGGAGTGGGTACTGGGTACTGCACCTGGAGAGCATTACGATGACTACGCTTCCCTGTTCCCAAACCATCTGCCAGAAATCTGCAATAGTGTGGGACATGGGCCCCTGGGTCACGATGTAAGCAGGGTTCCGCGGATCATGATCCGTCTAAAAAAACAGTTTTAAATTTCATAAAAAGTTTTAATCTTCTAAATATTTAATCTCCATACAGAAGTAAGAGACGAAGAGTTAAAAATCCCGTTTATTTAAGTTTAGACCTTATTAAATAACTCTTAACTTACCACAGTTGATGCATTGATATAGTCTGAGTTGTTTCCATTTACTAGAGCATTTAGGAGAACTCGGTTATGATCGTAAGGAAGTTTATCCGGATACCTATTCTTCTTCTTGTTCTCAACCTAGATATCAAACATTGGATTCTAATACAACATAAGTAGGGGGAATCCAGAACCCTTAATTCTTATCAGAACAGAGTAAACCTTTTAGCCTCTCATCTTTGTTGAAACTTGGAAAACCTTTGAACTTAGATTCTACGAACCTTAAAATTAATACATAGTGCTTTGGACCTAGAAACCTCTAAACCTTTATAGAACCTATTAAACACCTATTCTTTGGACTTAGGAACTCATAAGCCTTATAAGAACCGTTTTAACCTTTGAACTTTGAAACTTTGAACCTCTACGACCTAAAAAAAAACCTCATTGTTGTAACCTCTGCGACTTAAAACCTATAAACCTGCATAACTTGTTATAACCTCTTAGACCTAGATCTCAGTAACCTGTAAGAATTATACCTTGAAAGCTACCGAGGTTGCTGCTGGTTCAGCCTCGTAAGCGCAAAGGCCAACCCACTCCTGCTCCAGGCGCTGCTTGTTGTTGAGATGATCTTCCATATATGCGAGAACCATGTGTCCAGTAGATATATCCATACTGCTTACTCCAGGTTCTTCGGGCCTGCTAGAGATACATAGATTACTCCGGGTATAAAGATACATATCTTACTCCGGGTATACAGATACATAGTTTACTCAGGGTATACAGATAAATAGATTACTCTATGTAGGCGGATATTAGTTTACATATATCTAGTATGAGAGCTAAGGTTGATGAAAAGAAATTTGCTGATTACTTCTGGTTCTCCTGGAACCTCATTATAATATCTTTTGAAAACCTCGCTCTAAGAGATTAGAAGAAAACTATTCAGAAAAACTTGATAATTAACAAGAATATTTTTGTGTAGAGACAAAATATTTAAATATATTCCGAGGACAAGGTTATGAAAGTTCTTCAAAAGAATCGGGGGGAACTAGAACTAGAACTAGAACTAGAACTAGAACTAGAACTAGAACTAGAACTAGAACCAGAACCAGATCTAGAACTAAAACTAGATCATATTTGCTTACAATTTACGAAATATAAAAAGAAAATGATTACTACAATTGCATTGGGCATGGCGTAAACCTTACTGCTCCGAACTATAAGTATTCATATTATTCAACTTTTAAAATACTCCACCCTTTCCCTTTAGTCAAGGAATTGCTAATCACCATGCACAGTTATCTGGCACAGCTCATCGCTTTACAGTTATAAAAAATAGGAAAAATAAGTACTAGTAAATACAACTTTAAGGATATGAACGCAAACTAGTGTCTGTAATTTTAAATACGTAAAATAACACTGCTTTTATCCAATGATCTGTAATATATTGTTAATATTTATCCTGTAAACTAATTTAAAATAGAAATTATTATAATTTCCTTATTATTACATATTTATATTAACTGATGGTTTAGACTTTTGCTATTTTGAATTTTATGATCTCTGCTAGTTTATTTAGTTAAACTTTAGAATATTTAGGGTTTACACCATCAGGTTGGAAAAATGTAGACATTGTAAAGTTAAAGTGTTGAGTTTGTTAAAAGTATGAAAAGTATAAGCTTACCATGATGATGTGCTGGATGGTCCAGAGTCAGAAGAGTTCTGCTGCTTCACCGTAGCTCCGATAAGAGGTTGCTTTTTTGCTCCGTCCTCGCTAATCGTCCTAACCCTGCTCCCGTCCTCTGCTCCTACTCCGTTGCCTGGCCCCCCACCACCGCTACTGCTCTGGCTGGCGCGGCTGGAGCGAGACCAATCTCTCACCAGTTGCTGAGAATACAAAACATGTAAACAAGATGTAACTATGGTTTACAGAGGGTATACAGGATACAATCAATAAATATTATACTAATCCTACCCCCTCCCCCTCAACCTCCCTTCTCCCTAAAAAATCTGTTAAATCATTATTTATAAATCAGGATTTAAAATATTTTTTTTGTTATTTACATTTAATTCTGATTAAATTGTTAAAAAGGTCAAGATTTGAATCGAATAAACCGTTTATATTTTCATCCGACTGATTTTACTCAAAATAGGATTTCAGACTTTTTTATGTCAATTTCATATTCTGAGTGACCAAAAATTTCAAGAGTGCTAAATACGATTTTAAACATGAGTAACCATGAAGTTCAGAAACTATGCTTTTTAAATGTAGGATTGAGGAAAGGGAGAATTCTTACTCCAAACTTTGATTTTCTAATCCCTATATCTTTACAAACTCTTATTATTCAAACTATGAATTCTGCTAGATCGAATAATCTAAGTTGGAACAGATCAAGGGTAGATAAATTGGGATTAGAAAATTTGATTTTGTGGCAAAAAAAATCAGTTCTTTTCGGTCATTTCGTGGCTCGTAAGTCGAAGCAAAATCCAAAATTAGTTTGATAAACTTCAGATTGAAAAAGGAAAATATATCTTTTATTGTTTCTATTTTAAATTTTGGAAATGTGTAACCGGTCTATCGTTATTGGTTCTCCTTATATGGAGTCTTGCACACTTAGAATTACAGCCTCCCCTCCATGTTTCGAAACGAAGCTAATTTTATTTGAATCGGTTCGGCCTTTTCAAGGTTTATCAGCTTTAGGACTTACCGTGAAGAAATAAATAGACCAAAACCATTTACATAAATTTATATAACACAACCAGGGCAAACTCGATCAATTATGTTTTTGATAAAATTGAAATAATTTATCCCCCCCTCCTCTCTCCTCATCTGTTGTCATCCTATTTTTTTATATATTACGGTTAACTGGAACTCATTAAAAATAATCTTATAGAAGATAAATGCAAAGATCCGTAAAATTTATCATAATTGAGTAAACCTAATTATCCTTCATGATTAGACCACTTATGTATGCCCCTTCTCCACCCCACCCCCCTGTCCAGACCTCTGTCCCCCCCTCTAAGATCCAATTAAAAAAAATTTCTTCTAAAACGGTACTTTTCTCCGTACCCTTATCATTGAGAAGAAATCAATCTCTGGACTCTCCGTCTGGAAACCTCAGTGAACCTGGAGAATTTAAAAAACCAGAGGAACCTGGAGACCTTAGAATCTGGAGACCAGGAGAATTTTATAATACCAAGAATAACCAGCAAAAGCTGGAAACCCAGGTTATCTAGGAAAACTAGGAGAACCAGAAGAATTAGAGAACTAGGAGAAATAGGAGAACTAGACGAATTAGTAAAACTAGGAGAATTAGGAGAACTAGAAGAACAAGGAGAACTAGGAAAACTACAAGAAGTACAAGAACTACGAAAACTATTGGAGAACTAGGAGAATTAGGAGAACTAGGAGAACAAAGAGAACTAGGAGAACAAAGAGAACTAGGAGAACTAGGAGAACATGGAAAACTAGGAGAACTAGGAGAACTAGGGTGAACTAGGAAAATTAGGAGAAATAGAAGTACTAGGAGAACTAGAAGAACTAGGAGAACTACAAAAACTAAGAAAACTAGGAGAACTAGGAGAATTAGGAGAACTAGGAGAACAAAGAGAACTAGGAGAACATGGAAAACTAGGAGAACTACGAGAACTAGGATTAACTAGGAAAATTAGGAGAAATAGAAGTACTAGGAGAACTAGAAGAACTAGGAGAACTACAAGAACTAAGAAAACTAGGAGAACTAGGAGAATTATGAGAAATAGAAGAGCTAGGAGAACTAGGAGAATTAGGACAACTAGGAGAACTAGGAGAACTAGAAGAACTAGGAAAATTAGGAGAACTAGAAGTACTAGGGGAACTAGGAGAACAAGGAGAACTAAATGAGCCAGGAGAATTAGGAGATCTAGAAGTACTAGGAGAACTAGGAGAACTAGGAGAACTAGGAACAAGGAGAATTTTCAAAATAATTCAAAATTCGAAACTGAAGTTCAAGATAAACCAGCTATAAAAGATACATGGTTGAACCGTCTGTATGTAGTTCAACAATCAAAAACTTCACACAATTCATTAAATCCCGTCCAGTATAGATTTGTATCAGATCCCGTCCAGTATAGATTTGTATCAGATCCCGTCCAGTCTAGATCTGTATCAGATCCCGTCCAGATTAGATCTGTATCAGATCCCGTCCAGTATAGATCTGTATATGGAAAATAAAACCGATAACAACTCCTCGTGCAAAGGAGTAAAAGTAAACACTTAGGATCTCCTACAAGTGTTTTTAAAAAGTCTCGCTCATGTATCAACAGACAGGGTTTCTTACTTTATCTTTATAATTAACATTTGTTCTGAGAGCTAATTCAGTTCAGAGAACATCATAATGGTCTGTCTCTAGTTCGTAAAAGCATTTTAAAGAAAAATAGTAAGTTTTCTTCAATATACGGTGTTAACTCTGAAATAGAAAGACGACTTTTAGACTCAAGTTATGACTTTATATTGTCCAATAAGCATAAGACACAGCAATTGTGCATTGTAAGCTGACCCATTTTACTTATATGAACTTATTCTAAATAGAAAAATTGAAAAGAGGAACTTATTATTTTCCACAAACTCTTATATTTTATATATTGTGTAGACCTTAACAAACGTTTACTATTCAAATCCCACGGAATTCAAAGTTGGTAAGATTAATGGTGTACCGTGTGCGACATTAGGACGAGAAGATATCAGGATGAGAAGAATAGAGTTTGTGAAGAGTAATCACTTCCTTGGCATATTTTTTCTTCTAGTCTTAATCTCATTCTTTACCTTGTACTCTTTAACAGGTTCTTCTCTGTCCTCTCTGTCGTCTTTGTTCTCACTCTTCTTATTCCGTCTTCGGCGCAGGATTAGTACGAGGCATCCAGACACGAGTACAGAGGCAACAGCTGAAAACATTGATAACTTTTTTTAATTTGGAATCATTTTATATCCTCAAAACTTCTACAGGTATTTTCTTATTTTTATTCAAAAGCAAGCTTTAATTCAAAACATCGTTTGAAGTTAATTCAGATAATGTCTTAAAGTCATAAACCCCAAAAAATAAAATCCTGAAGAAGAAGTGATCCCGAAATATTATCTTTCTAATATTTAATCAGCGTTTTAATCCTTCAAATGTGTAATCCCCAAAACATTTAATCCAAAGGTTTAATCCTAAAATCATTTAATCCTAGGGTTTAATCCAACAAACCTGCGGTAAGAATGAATAGTGCCAGGAAGAGCTGAGAATGTCCGGTGTAAACAGATACAACGTTATTCTAAACAAACAGAGTTTAGTTAAATAAGAATATAAATCTTCAACACCTTAATAGGTGACCTCTCCCGGAGGTTTGACCTCGGTTAAACCGGAGGACTGGAAACCCCAGAATGCTCCGAGAGAAGAAAAATATTGTGAAGAACCTTGTTTGGAGAAATACGACACCTTCAAGATATCTTAGAAACGTTCTACTCTGGACCCCCAGCTTAAGAGGCTTTAAACTAAATGATGATAAATTTAAAACATTAGTATTATCAATTCATATTATATATATATTTATCCAGCTTTATTTTGGAAAAACATGAAAGTTTTAAATCTTTCTAAACAATCCCTACTAGACTATAAAATGCAAGATTAGATTTAAATATAATTTGCACAAAGGAACTGAACAAATTCAAATTTTAATCCATATATCTTTGTAACCTAATGCCGTGGAGCTTTAAAATTTTAAAATTTGAATTCTGTTAGTTCAAATACTGAAAGTTTGAAACATCTAAGGTTTACGTCATAAGGATTAGAAATTTAGAAGATTTCTGAAAAATATTTTAAATAAACTGAATTTCTAAATAATATTAATAATAAATCTTGAAGCGCGGATTAAAATCCTTGAAAAGATGATTTGAAAAGTTTTCTTAATTCTAGTAAACCTACTCAACGAAAGCATTCAAAGACAAGTTTTGATTAGAAACTGAATAGATGGTAGTTATACTTCTAGTTACATCTACTTTAATCATTTATTCTGAACTTCAAATCTAATCATGATTGCTCTTTGCATCCAATACAGTGTGTTGTACTAAACATAATAAGTTCTTGTAGAGAACTGTAAGTCGTCTTCTAGAGACGTTTTGCGGCATTTATTCATTATTTGAGGCATTAATAATAAAATACGTCTAATCCTTTCATTTCCAAAATGTGGTGTGCCTTTTTGTACACAATAAACCCAAAAGTTTACAATTTCAGAAGCTTAGTCCGTTTTTAATCAGTCTTAAAATCTCATTTATTTTAATGTTTTATATTCATATATGGGACAGCTTTAAGTCAGAGTGACTTAACAGAGAAAAAAAAATATTTCTAAGTTAATTATAGTGTATAGGGTGATGCTGTGTTAATCCTTTACTAATTGTATAAGCCATGAACTATATATACCGAGAGCGTACTGCATATTTGTTTATTATAAGTTGATTCTGGCCTAACCGATAGTATATCAATATTAGTAAACAATTGTAATATTCTTTTAGAGGGTTTAACATTTTATAGGGAAATAAGAAAAAACCCGGTGGACGGGAAAGCTGTAGGGGGCGTGCCTTCACCACCCCGTCCCCCCTCTCTTTTCCCAAATCGTTTGAACTTATGCAGATGCTGCATACTCACTCAATATATATTCTGCAAATCTAAAAGATTTTATTCCCAATGAAATGAATACCGAAGACGACATATAAAACCAACGCTCACTCACCTCGTCTCCCGAAGAGAAGCTCTCGATAGTAATACCCGCAGCGCGGTCTGTTCTCTTGTTTACCAAGTCTAGCTGATGTCCTGATAAAACAAACTTTTTAATTTTACAGTTTTAGGAATCAAGATTGAGAAGAAATTCTAATTATTAAGTTTGGAACACGAAATAAAAGTCGTCTTCCAAATTTAATTTCTTTTGAAATATTTATTTAATATTTACCTAAGATATCTGCCATCTCGCTGGCATTGAGTTGGCGTGGGTTGGATTCGACAGGAATACTAAGCTGTGACGTAGATAATCTAAAAAGAAAAGTTAAAAGATAAAATCATAATTAAGTAACTAAAATATTATATTTTCATTAGTATTTAGAATATTAATATGTTTATTTAGAAAAGTTTACATACAGCTAATCTCACGTATATGAATACATAGCAATATGTTGAGAATACGACATTGTAAAAAAAACTCTTGCGATGTATTTATATCATAGAGAATAGAATATATATTAGAGGGGAATTTAAAGAATCTCTCGGCATGAATTTTTTCAGTCCCTTTCAGGCTGAAAGGGAGTTCAAAGTGTACAAATCATGTAAATGTTCACAAATTATGTGCAGTAGAGTACATTAATAAAGTATGTTCCCTAGATTATTCATTTCAATTTCGAATTTTTTAATTATAAATTTTAATTATAAACTTTATAATGAATAAGGTGAAAAAAACATCATTTGATTTATAGTTATAACGGAAAATCATCGTTTGTGAAGTGAAAGGCATAGAGTCTATGTGAAATGATCATTGGTCAATTATGAAACCAGCCTATATCATAATTTAGTTTTCTTTTAACAATAATTTTAGATTTTCTATAAAATGATATTCCAGGGCCCAAAAGGTAATATAGCATAAATATGTGAAGTACACCTGCAGTATGAAAGCAGTACAACAAAATGGCCGTTTTACACTTTTTTCTAGTAAATTCCTCTCTATATATTCTATTCTCTTTGATTCATATATCTGGGATTCACTACAATGTACATATATACAATACATATCGATCCATGTATGTAATGACAATTTAAAATAAATTTATTTCAATATTTATCTCATTTTTTCTTAGATAATTGACAACTTTTAAACATTTAAACATTCAATAAAAAATGTTTACATAAAATGTTCATAGTTTGTTTAAGTCTAATAATCTTTAAGTAAAAATCTAACGGTATTTAACCAATTGTAATGTACTACATTAATGCTTTTTAAAGTGGTCTTACTACTAAAGTAAAGCTAGCTGTTTATATCCCGATATAAATGTAGTCGTAAATGTAGTCGGTTTTTTTTCTAAATTACTACAATAATTCATGATAATTCATATTGTTACAGCTAAATTTCATGATTTTCAATCTGTGGGATAATTCTAATCTTTTATTTACGATTACAACATGTCAGTGTTGAGACTGCAATATAGTCTTTCTCGATTCGATGATATTACATGTTATAACATACAGGGTGTCCCACGAAACATGACAGTTGTTGAATAGTTTTGAATGTCTTCTTTTACATGCTGTATTAGATATTGAAGACTTTTAAAACTTTACTTTGTTTTTAAAAAATATTTATTCTTATTCTCTTTGGCAACAAACAACTTGACATATTATGTAAGAAGACATTTTAAACTATTCACCAACTGTCATGTTTCGTGGGACACCCTGTATGTAGACACATTAAAGAATAAAGGTTAAAATGCAGAAATGCAAAATAAAGATTTTTTATTTTCAACACTTGTATTATGTACTTGAGTGCATTTTTCACAATGTATCAAAATAAAATATATTTGTTATTTTTTTTTAAAAACCTTTTATGTAATATGAAAAGAGGGTCACAAAGGTTCATTTAAAATCTTTATTTAATAAATATATATCGTTGTGTTTTTAAACTTTGCACTCCATTGTTTCTGTAGAGAAACCCAAATTGAAAGTAATTGGATTTCAAAAAGAGAAACATGGATAGCTCAAACAATGGTGAGACAATGCTTTTAAGAGTACTGATGGTAATCGAACATTCTATAAGTGTGGGGGGTGATTGAAATTACTTTACCAGCTCAGCTTGACCATTTCACGAGAATTGGAAGAAAAATTATAAAATAAAATTTAAATAAATCTGTCGTTTTACGTGATCTATGATAGTTGATGCATAGTGCAGCATACGTAACAATATATTCATCTCAAGTTTATGAGACCTTCAGGATAAATAAATTTTTTTATTGTTTTTATTAAGGCCAGTCGTCTATTAATTGGAGGTAAAGGGTGTTATGAAAAAAACTTTATCCTTAGAAATAAAAGCTTTAAAGTTTTAAGTATATATATATATGGGAATTTAAAGCTTCGAAAATGAAGTTTATTAATAAAGTGTTTAATGACTTTTTTAAAGTCTGAATAGGGATGGACACTATATCTCAGAAAGTCCAAATTGAGTTTTCAACTAGATTTGCCTGTAAACTATAAAAAAAAAATTGAAAGAAAAATTGTGCTAAAACAAAATGCGCTTATCATAGAGCAGGATTTAGAGAATTTTGTACTTGAACAATGCACATTTAAACAATGAGAAAATGGTAAGGTTTACTAAATAAGTATTTCAGGTTTAAACTTAAATTCCAAAAACAAAATCCTATTTCAAAGTTTTCATCTTAAAAAGCCAAAACATAATCTTAACTTTAACATGTTAAGAAACATTGCTTATTAAACTTTTAACCTTTAGACATTATACACAATACAGTTCCATTAAAGATAGTAAATATATAAGATTTTTCGTTCTTTTCTATAAAGGATTAGATTGCTAGCCTCAAATTCAAAAAGAATTGAGTCTTTGCCACAAACTCTGATTTTCTAATCACTATAAGAATTATAAAGTTCTAAAAACCGCAAACTATTCTAATATACATGACACATGTGGAGAAAAATAAACAGTATCTGACTGAATACCTAGTGTTTACTAAACTATCAGTGAAACTAATATATTTATATTAATTTATTTTTCATAAATCAAGGTCATCGTACTGAATATTATTGTAAAGTGTACAATATCATGTATGATAGAAATTACATTTAAAAAAGATTTACTTACATCGTGAATACCATGATTTAGCACTATATGGACATGTGTCAATACTCTATACCAAAATAATCAGATTCAATGAAATCATTGATGGTTTTTTATCCACTTCATCCAAGGAATAAATACCGGCTTCGGTCAAAAACAAATATTTTTGTTGTAAATTTTCAAGTTTGGTGTAATAACTTGTTACTACAACTTTAAAAGAAGTTTTTTGTTCAAAACAAAAATAGGTTCAAGAAGGATGCATTTAATCACTTCAAGGCAATGAAAAAATGAAAATATTTTTGAATAAATTCCTGCTCGGTGTGCCAGATGGAAACGTCTGAATCCTCGGAGAAGTTAGGACTGGAGTTTAAACCCGGAGCCAGGACTGAACTACAGGTGTTCTTCTAGTCCGAGAATTTAAAGAAAAAAGCATATGCCGGTAATATTTATAAATTATCATCAACCCGGTCTAACTGTTTTTAATATTAGAGCATTAGAAATGATAAAGAGTATCCGAGTAATTAATAATTAGACCTAAATTGGAAATATGGAAAATCTGAACGAAAAAAAGATAGTTTTTCTAGCACGTGAAATGTTTTGACTCTTTAAAACATGAATATGAAAGTACTGATCGTAACGTTCACCGTTAACCAGACGTTTTGGTCAGGCAATTGTTACATTGACTTTTGAATTGTTAAAGTGCAAAGGGGGGGTTAGTAAATATTTCTTCAAAGGACTTCTTACTCGCCATAATCTTTAATCCCTATATCTTTGCAACCTAATGGTGCATACCTTTAATTCAAACTTTGATTATTTGATCTTACAGAATTCTTGCATTAAAATATCAAAAGCGGCGTCAAACCTTATAGAAATCCAACGTATAGAAACCGCTACGTATAGCAACAAGGCAAGGCGTATTTTCCGGGAGAACATTTTTTATATTTTTGAGAAATTAAATAATCAGTGTAAAGTAGATATAATTTTCATAAAATCCTTTTATTTAAACGGTAAAACGGAATTTTATGAAATCATATTTGCATTACTAGAGAACTTTTTTATACTTTTGAGAATTTTTTTTCTCTAAAAATACATAAAAAAGTACATAATAAAATCTGGGGGACGTTTAATTCTTAAAAATATAAAAATGTTCTCCCGGAAAATACGCCATGTTGCTATACGTAGCTGTTTCTATACGTTGGATTTCTATAAGGTTTGACTTCATCAAAAGCACACTCCTGTATGCCGAGTCCATTAGCGCCTGATCCAATCAGGATTCAGTCATGTGTTTGTTGTCTATTCTGAACCAATAGAAATAGTATGGAGGTAACATCTATCTTTCTATCTATCTCATTATCCTACTAAAGATATGAATCCTTCAATCGGCGTTATCAGTAAATGGAAATATTTACTGATACTATAATGAGCAAGAGATTGAAAAAAAGATTTTGGGACGAGTTATCAGTTTCTTTGTCTAATTCTATCTTTAATTCTTATATCTTTGCAACTGGATGGCGCAGACCTTTAATATTTCAAACTTAGATTATTTGAACTCACCAAATTCATAGTTTTAAATGTCTAAGGGTTATGAAAATATCAGGAATAGAAAATCAGAGTTTGTGGTATAAAGAGTCCATTCAATTGATAACTCTTGAAAAATATTTTGGAAAAGAATCAATACATATTTAATTTTCTCTTTTCTGAAATTTACAAGTTGCCAAATCCCTGTCACCTCCAGTTTTTAATAAAAATCAAGTGTATTGAACCCTTGTATTTTTTTCTGTTTAAGGATGACCTAAATTTCTATAATAAAGTAGTTTCTCCCAAACATGTGTAATTGTAAGCTAAGAGACCTATTTGTCCAATATCTCTGGAGTATTCTATACAGTATACACCTGTATTAAATATTAGAAATCTTATTCAAAAATGATAATTTAAAATCTGATTGGGAAACTCGAGAGAACCACGGGAAGTGTCTTAGCTGAGTTTTAAGATTCTAAGTTAAGTGGGTTGCCTATAAATTTTTTTTTTATTTCCAGACAAAGCTAGGTTCCTAAGCTAGTATGACCCTAAGGTTCAAAATCATTAATGCTTTCACTCAAAATAATCATGATGTGAAAAATGCTCCAAGAAATTTTAGACTTTGAGTTAATATAAAAAATTCTTATTAAAGCTCTGAAAAGATTTTAAAGTATCGCCCGCCCCCCCCCCTTNATCAAGAAAGAAGTTGTTCTGGCTGTTAGCGAAGAATGGTCCAGGTTTCTTAACGTCCAATCGTTCTCGCCGGTCAAAGATCGTCTCAAACGCCGCCGGTTCGTCCAGTCCGTAGTAAACTGTGTCGTCATTGTCACCGTCCTGGCTGGCAGCGGAGTCGTTATAGTCAAAGTCCATTGTCGAAACGTTTTCGTCATTTTTCTCCTCGAGATCTTTCAGGATAACCCAGTCGTTGTTGCTTGGCCGTTTTCTTCGCACATTTGTAGGCGCGTAAAACATGCTTTGCAGATTTTCTAGATTTTCCAGCGCCTCGGTCAAGTCGTCTTCATCTGCCACAATATCAGGTACACGGTCAGGAGTCTGGTCTTCCAGATATACAGGAATGACCTCGGGCATAATGTCGGTGAGGATCTCGTCCTCGTTGAAGATGGTGTCCTCGGGACTAAGTATGTCCTCGGGAATGTTCTCCGGGAGGTATGGTTGGAGCTGGAACCTCGAGTCTTCAGAGAAATCTAAAAATAATTTCGAAATGATTTTTATTATGAAAATCACGAGAGGGGAAGAGAAAAGAGGGTCCAAGGGGAGGGGGAGGGTCTAGCAGAATACAAGATATTACCTTTTCTTCTTCTTTTTTAGAATTTTCAGAAAACAATTATCGTTTCATTTCCGAGAAATTGGTAACTCTATTTTTACCATTAATGAAATTATTTATAGTTCATCCGGGAATCCATTTCTCTTTTTTTCCAATGATGAAAAAAAAACTCGGCTTTTCATTTCTTTTAAATGAAAAATATTTTGAGTTGTTTTAGTATTATATTACAAATTATATCAAACACATTTTGTACTTTTTGATATCACAGAAACAAGAGAAATACTTTCAAAAACCAACAAAAGAAGAACTTAAAAGGAATGGAAGAAGATAGCCTTAGGATGGTTATTCTTTAAAAAAAAAGGATGGAAGTAAATTTAGTTGAACATTGTATAATTTATGTCAATTAAAACTGTTGGAAGTATGGCATTGTAAACATTTTTTAATATATTTTCTGGATATTGTATCAATATTATAGATTATTGGCTGTTCTGAACCTTTTATACTGTATGGATGGACTAAATTATTGAAATAGAATGAAAATATTTTATAATAATAATCATGATGTTTAAAAAATACTGTATGGAATAAATTATTGAAAACTAATGAAAATATTTTATAATAATAATCATGATGTTTAAAGAAAACAGGTCAGTTAATTTATAACTAATAATAATTACTAAACGATTTCTTTTGATTAATTAATAAATTTACTAATTGATTTTTTGATCAATCAACACATTTAATATTTGATTTTTAATTATAAGATTATTTTTTAGCAACTTTTTAAATAATTAACTTTCGTAATAATAGATTTAATATTTTACAAAATATAGAATTTTTTGTAATGTGATTGATTTGTTAAGCAGCTAAAAATGTATTGATTATTATTTTTACTTTTTAATGATTGAATATTTTATTGAACATTTAATTGACGATTTCATTAAATATAAGATTAAATGTTTTATTGATTGTTTGATTGAATATTTGATTGAATATTTAATTGAATATTTGATTGAATATTTGATTGAATATTTGATTGAATATTTGATTAAATATTTAATTAAATATTTGGTTGAATATTTGGTTGAATATTTGGTTGAATATATTTGCTTGATTAAGAAAGAATGATTGATTGGTTTATCAATTAATCACCTTGGTTCTCCGAAAGCATTCCTAGGTACATGAAGCTGTGTTGCAATAGCATCAACCACCTCTACCGCCTGACCTAGCGTCTTAAACCTAAATTATATAACATTTATAATAAGAGTTAATGGCGAAGAAATGATTTTGCATATTTTGGCAAAATGTGAAAACAAACCAAATTCGTGAAAATTTGGTAAAACAAATATTTGATTTGAAATTTATATTTATAAACCATATTTAGAGAAAATAAACAAGACAGAGAATAAGAGTAGGGGGAGGTGAGAAGAAAAGAAGGAGAGAAGGAGGGAAGGGAGGAAGGAAAAGGAGAGAAGGAGAGAAGGAGAGAAGGAGAGAAGGAAAGAAGAAGAGAAGGAGAGAAGGAGAGAAGGAGAAGAAAAGGAGGGAAGGAGAGAAGGAGAGAAGGAGAGAAGGAGAGAAGGAGAGAAGGAAAGAAGGAAAGAAGAAGAGAAGGAGAGAAGGAGAAGAGAAAAAAAGGAGAGAAGGAAAGAAGGAAATAAGGTGAGAAGGAAAGAAGGAGAGATGGAGAGAAGAAGAAAAGGAGAGGAGAGAAGGAGAGGAGGAGAAGAGAAGAAAAGGAGGAGAGACGGAAAGAAGGAGAGAAGAACTAAAGAAGAGAAGGAGAGAAGGAGAAGAGTACAGAAGGAGAAAAGGAGAAAAATATTGATAAAAGATTGAAAATGAGTTTTGAAATTAAAGTTGAAAGGGGTAGACAAGATTGCAAGAATGGTATAAGAAACAAAAGGAAAAGATGAGAAAACTGCTTAGAATAGAAGGAAAGTATAACCGTAAACCGAATGTAGAAAAGATAAAAAAGAGAGGAATAAAAACCAAGTTATAAATAATCAGAGTTAAGTAGAGAGGAAAATTCTGGTAAAAAATATTATTCATGAAATTCTTTAATCATAAATATTATAATTTAAACCTGCTTTACAGCTTTGTTAAGGAATAAGAAGGGATAAGGAGTTTACTTGAAAGGAAAGGAATTGTAGGAAAGGAGGAAGATAGCCTTAGGATGGTTATTCTTTAAAAAAAAAGGATGGAAGGACGGGAGGGGGATAGAAAGATGAAAAGAGAGGTTATATCTTGTAAAGAAAGGATGACAGGAAGAAATAGGGGGATACAATGAAGGGTTGTCTCGAAATGAAGGAGATTGGGTACATTATCTTGTTTAGGAGTGGATGAGAGAAAAGGAGGAAGGGAGGGGGGGGGGGGGGGTGCAGGTAATCTTGAAAAGAAGGAGATGGCAAAAAGGGGGAGGAGGTGTTCTCACCTATCCTTGATGTTAACAACAAGATACGAATCTTGAGGTGTTGGATTCTCTATCTGAAGAACTCCAGTTCTACCGTTGATCTAAATATTATAAAATAGAAATTCAGACCGATTCCGCCATAGATCAATAACAACAAAGATAGAACACTATATGTCGTCTTTTTAAGATTTAGAGGTTTTTCGTTCATAATAACCCTGAGGCAGAAGTCCAAAGGAGTTTCTGTGTTGTTATTAATCTATGAATTCCCCATTTTTTACGTTCTGAGGGAAATTAAGTTTTTACAGTGATAACGAGAAAACAATATAATAGTAAGACGATATTATGGCAATACTAAAGTATATTTGATGTTTATTCAAAGCAAATACTTTTACTAGACTCTTATTAAATCGCAAATTTAGTGAAATGGGTCTGTTTACACTGCACAATCGCCGTGTCTCTTGTTTACTGAAAATGTTTTTTGTGATTTTTGGTTAATCCCAGATTCCTGATTTTACCTTTACAGCTTTCTTTTCCTTACTCCTGGTTGGAAGAGAATTTTCATACTCAGTCTGTCCAACATCTAGATAGATAGATAGATAAATGTTAGACAGATAGAATGATAAATAGATTAGTAAATAGATAGATTGGCAAATAGATGGATAGATGGATAGATAGATTGTTAAATAGATGGAAAGATAGATTGATAGAAAAATGTTAGACAGATAGAATGATAAATAGATTAGTAAAAAGATAGATTGGTAAATAGATGGATAGATAGATTGATAGATAAATGTTAAACAGATAGAATGATAAATAGATTAGTAAATAGATAGATTGGTAAATAGATGGATAGATGAATAGATAGATTGATAGATAAATGTTAGAAAGATAGAATGATAAATATATTAGTAAATAGATAGATTGGTAAATAGATGGATAGATAGATTGATAGATAAATGTTAAACAGATAGAATGATAAATAGATTAGTAAATAGATAGATTGGTAAATAGATGGATAGATGAATAGATAGATTGATAGATAAATGTTAGAAAGATAGAATGATAAATATATTAGTAAATAGATAGATTGGTAAATAGATGGATAGATAGATTGATAGATAAATGTTAAACAGATAGAATGATAAATAGATTAGTAAATAGATAGATTGGTAAATAGATGGATAGATGGATAGATAGATTGATAGATAAATGTTAGAAAGATAGAATGATAAATAGATTAGTAAATAGATAGATTGGTAAATAGATGGATAGATGGATAGATAGATTGATAGATAAATGAAAAGATTTACAAAGTAATGATTTTCTGGATTAAAGTGATTAAGAACTATTTATCTAGGAGAGAACTTGCTTTCCTTGGTTTTCATTAAACCTGAAGGATCAAGAGAAGTGGTTGAGAAGATGGAAGGGGGGTTGCAAAATAAACCTACCATTCTCCTGGTACTCCTCTGAACCTGTGTTCTCCTCAAGCCTCAGCAACTAAACATATCCGGAGTAAATTCTCAATTCGTCCCAACAAGAATAAGAATTATATTTTGCGTGATATGGTAAAAAAATTACTTCATTATAAAAATCATGGTTACAATAATCTAATCAAAATTGCAGAAAATATACACCCAGTTTTAAGAAATGTTAGTAAATTACTTTATCAAGAAAGAAGTTGTTCTGGCTGTTAGCGAAGAATGGTCCAGGTTTCTTAACGTCCAATCGTTCTCGCCGGTCAAAGATCGTCTCAAACGCCGCCGGTTCGTCCAGTCCGTAGTAAACTGTGTCGTCATTGTCACCGTCCTGGCTGGCAGCGGAGTCGTTATAGTCAAAGTCCATTGTCGAAACGTTTTCGTCATTTTTCTCCTCGAGATCTTTCAGGATAACCCAGTCGTTGTTGCTTGGCCGTTTTCTTCGCACATTTGTAGGCGCGTAAAACATGCTTTGCAGATTTTCTAGATTTTCCAGCGCCTCGGTCAAGTCGTCTTCATCTGCCACAATATCAGGTACACGGTCAGGAGTCTGGTCTTCCAGATATACAGGAATGACCTCGGGCATAATGTCGGTGAGGATCTCGTCCTCGTTGAAGATGGTGTCCTCGGGACTAAGTATGTCCTCGGGAATGTTCTCCGGGAGGTATGGTTGGAGCTGGAACCTCGAGTCTTCAGAGAAATCTAAAAATAATTTCGAAATGATTTTTATTATGAAAATCACGAGAGGGGAAGAGAAAAGAGGGTCCAAGGGGAGGGGGAGGGTCTAGCAGAATACAAGATATTACCTTTTCTTCTTCTTTTTTAGAATTTTCAGAAAACAATTATCGTTTCATTTCCGAGAAATTGGTAACTCTATTTTTACCATTAATGAAATTATTTATAGTTCATCCGGGAATCCATTTCTCTTTTTTTCCAATGATGAAAAAAAAACTCGGTTTTTCATTTATTTTAAATGAAAAATATTTTGAGTTGTTTTAGTATTATATTACAAATTATATCAAACACATTTTGTACTTTTTGATATCACAGAAACAAGAGAAATACTTTCAAAAACCAACAAATGAAAGTATGAATGAATAATAAATATGAAAGGATGAATGTTGAATATGAAAGGATGAATGAATATAAAATATGAAAGGATGAATAATATTAAATATGAAAGGATGAATAATATGAAATATGAAAGGATGAATAATATTTAATATGAAATGATGAATTTATATTAAATATGAAAGGATGAATGAATATAAAATATGAAAGGATGAATGCATATAAAATATGAAAGGATGAATGAATATTAAATATGAAAGGATGAATGAATATTGAATATGAAAGGATGAATATTAAATAAGAAAGGATGAATGAATATTAAATATGAAAGGATGAATGAATATTGTATATGAAAGGATGAATGAATATAAAATATGAAAGAATGAATGAATATTTTATATGAAAGGATGAATGAATATTGAATATGAAAGGATGAATATTAAATAAGAAAGGATGAATGAATATTAATATGAAAGGATGAATGAATATTGTATATGAAAGGATGAATGAATATAAAATATGAAAGAATGAATGAATATTTTATATGAAAGGATGAATGAATATTGTATATGAAAGGATGAATTTATATTAAATATGAAAGGATGAATGAATATAAAATATGAAAGGATGAATGAATATTAAATATGAAAGGCTGAATGAATATTGAATATGTAAGGAAGAATGAATATCAAATATGAAAAACATGAATGAATTGAATACTGAATATGAAAAGATGAATGAATATTGAATATGAATGAATAAATAAATACTGAATATTAAATATAAATGAATAAATGAATACTGAATATGAAAGATTGAATATGAAAGGATGAATGAATATTGAATATGAAAGGATGAATGAATATTGAATATGAAAGGATGAATGAATGTTGAATGTGAAAGGATGAATGAATATTGAATTTGAAAGGAAGAATGAATATTGAATATGAAAGGAAGAATGAATATCAAATATGAAAGGATGAATGAATATTAAATATGAATGAATAAATAAATACTGAATATGAAAGAATGAATGAATATTAAATATGAATGAATATTAAATATGAATGAATAAATGAATACTGAATATGAAAGATTGAATATGAAAGGATGAATGAATATTGAATCTGAAAGGAAGATTGAATATTGAATATGAAAGGAAGAATGAATATCTAATATTATGAATGAATACTGAATATGAAAGGATGAATAAATAAATAGTGAATAAGGTGAATGGGTGAATAAATTACCATCAGATGTTGGGATGATTAAAATCTTGTTAAAATCTTGTTCAGTCTCCCCGGTATAACCAGAGAGAGCATCATCTTAAAAATTCAATTCATTAATTAAAGGGAATGTATTCAATTCATTAATTAAAGGGACTGTATTTAATTCATTAATTTAAGGGACTATAATTAATTCATTAATCAAAGGGACTGTAATTAATTCATTAATTAAAGGGACTGTATTCAATTCATTAATTAAAGGGACTGTATTCAATTCATTAATTAAAGGGACTGTATTCAATTCATTAATTAAATGGGACTGTATTTAATTCATTAATAAAGGGGACTATAATAATTCATTAATTAAAGGGACTGTAATTAATTCATTAATTAAAGGGACTGTATTTAATTCATTAATTGAAGGGATTGTATTTAATTCATTAATTAAAGGGACTGTATTTAGTTCATTATTTAAAGGGACTGTATTCAATTCATTAATTAAAGGGACTGTATTCAATTCATAAATTAAAGGGACGGTATTCAATTTATTAATTAAATAGACTATATTTAATTCATAGAATTAAAGGGACTGTACTTAATTCATTAATTAAAGGGACTGTTTTTAATTCATTAATTAAAGGGACTGTACTCAATTCATTAGTTAAAGGGAATGTATTCAATTCATTAATTAAAGGGACTGTATTCAATTGAAACCGGTTTTTGGGTGATTTGAGACGTGGCTTAAATTCACATAATTCGGACACTGGATTCAAAAAGAATACATTTAATTTAAATTCAATACCTGAAAAGTCTCGGCTCTGCTCTAAACCAGGCTAAAATAGAAAAAAATATCAAAAATCTTTTAAAAGTTGAAAAAACGGGGAGGAGGGGGGGCTGATCAACAACCCCTCCCTTTTTACACAAAATTTACAAAACTGTGGAATAGGAAGACGTCTGTTTGGCTCCAGTTGTTGCGCACTGTGCAGCGTTCAATTAATAAGTTGATTTTCCTGCTAAATCAAATTGAGCATAAAGATAAGATTACTTAAATGTCGTCTTCTTTCTCAACAATTTTAAGTGACTTACTATAGTCTAGATAAAGTACAAAAATATTTTTTTAATTTAGGAAATGAAAAAGTGACGACTGGGGTTGTAAGTGATGGGGCTCAGATTCGTTTTAAAAACCTCGGATTTTTTTTAATATGTCACACATGCAGAGGCGTATACCGGGGGGGCTTTTGGGGCTCAGCCCACCCTGGATCAGAAAAATCTCTGGTTTACAGGAGGTTTTCAGGTCCAAAACGGGTTCTGAGGCCCCCCGTAGAGTTTTAAAATCCGCAGGTCTTGAAGTGTAGATAGGTTTTAAAATACTTCTTACCAGAAAAATAGGAGGAATATTTTGTGACTTTGTAAATGGAGATTTATAATACAAATTTTATTTCTATGCAGTTTAGGATTCTACAAGTGATATTTAATATATTAAAAAGACACAAAATTGTTCTTCATTTTTAAACGTATAAAAGATAGAAACGGAAAATTTAGGATTTTCTCGTTGTTGCATGGAATGAAATTAAATTTAAAAAGATACGTCACGAGTTAGAGCTCTGTCATTTAAATCTTGCATTATCATCGGTATAAAGTATAAAGTGGGAACCAAAAACAAACCAGTTTTATTCTGTTCAATAGTTTTAGATCAATTTTGCAAAACAACATCGGACTTTTAAGGCAACGGTTTTTGACTTGATTTTGATCTAATCTAAAAACTTTTAAATAAAATTTAACAGTTTTATTATTTAAATGCTAAAAGATCATTAGAACCAGATTTGTGGAAAATTACATAATCTTGCCACATTTTTAAGAGTTTTTTGTTTAATTCTTAATAGTTGTATACTGTACACACTGTACACTGTACACGTTGTACACACTGTACAGTGTACCGTGTAGTGGGCTCAACTGAAATATGAAAATATATAAATATTCTTTTATAAAATGACTCTCTAATTAAAAGGATTAAAGTTAATTTTTTTAAAATCTTCTAATTAAAAGGATTAAAGTTAATTTTTTTAAAATCTTGAGGTTTGAAAAATAACCTAAAGAACCGGGGAGAAATTCCTAACATACTCTTTAATTCACAACCTTATTTATTACAGAGGCTTGGTTAGCACTTAGTGTTTTCTGAGAATTGCATTTTTTCTCCCCCCTCTCTCCCACTCCTCCCCTCCCCTTCTGCCCCCCTCCTCGTCAATTCCTATTCTTGTTCAATAAATCTTCTCTGGTTTAAGGTTTAAACTCAGCTGTTGTAAGTCCAGGTTTCCCGTTGTCAAGTCTGCGCTTCACTCTTGTTGCAGGTCCCAGCCTGGGTATATAAACAAGAGTTCTTCTCTTCCTCGCCACTCTTCAACCGACAACCATAGCTAGAAGACCACTATGTTTATCCTTCTAGTGTGCTTAGTAGCGGTCGCCTACAGCCATGCTCAGGCTCCTGAAGGAGCAGCTCCACCAGCTCCTCTTCCTCCTCCAACATGGTTCCTTGAGACAACCCTAGTCGGAACCTTCGGAGAGAGATCAGCTCAGTGTGAGGAACTGTTCCCGGAGTACAAGGAGACTGCCTCCAACGGTCCCATCTTTATCCCTGAGGACTCTGATGCTGATATCTGCATCAACTTCCCTCCCCGTACCCTAGAGGACGGTAGGGAGCTCAAGGGAGGATGGAGACACGACAAGGGAGCCAAGGGAGCCTGTGCCAACGGTTGCTGTGAGTTCCAGCCTCCTACCAAGGCTGCTCCTGCCAAGGTTGACCATCCCAGCTGGTTCGAGACTTCCTCTGACTGCTCTGATGACAAGAATGTTGTTAAAGGAGCTCCTATTCTTTTCAAGGGAAAGGTAAAAAACATATTTTTTTCCTCAAGTTCAAATTCTATTCTGCCATTTTCTACTCTATTCTATACCCTTCTATTCTGCCATATTCTACTCTATTCTATACCCTTCTATTCTGCCATATTCTTCTCTATTCTATACCCTTTTATTCTGCCATATTCTTCTCTATTCTATAACCTTCTATTTATTCAATGTAGTCAATTTATATTATTTTCTTTCTATTCTATTCTATTCTATTCTATTCTATTCTATTCTATTTTATTCTATTCTATTCTGTTCCGTTGTATTCTATTGTATTCTATTTTATTCTATCTAGAACGGAGATGAGAAGACTGTCTGTGTTGCTGGAGAGGACGGATACGTCCTTACTCAGGGTAGTATTGGAAACTGCGGAGGAGATTGCTGTATTTTCTACGGGAAGGAAGAGTAAGAATTGAAACCATCTATGAAGATAGACCTACTGTGATTTTACCGGTGCTTGAAAATTATAAAATGTTTATATTGTCAATCATTGGGAGCTACGTATTTAATATATAATTCTAAGATGAATATTCTTTAATATGTTGTATAGGAACTCAGATTTTCCACTTAATTAGTTAGTTAATAGTCGTAGCTTACAGTAATTGAGTTTTTCTCATTGGTATAGTGGAAGGAAAGGAGTAATTTACAATAATTGAGTTTACTCTGGTTAAATAGTTGAATGATAGGAGAAGTTTACAGTAATTGAGTTTACTCTGGTTATAGTGGAAGGAAAGGAGTAGTTTACAGTAATTGAGTTTCCTCTTGTTATACAGTTGAAGGATAGGAGTAGTTTACAGTAATTGAGTTTACTTTGGGTACACAGTTGAAGGATAGGAGAAGTTTACAGTAATTGAGTTTACTCTTGTTATACAGTTGAATGATAGGAGTAGTTTACAGTAATTGAGTTTACTTTGGGTACACAGTTGAAGGATAGGAGTAGTTTACAGTAATTGAGTTTACTCTTGTTATACAGTTGAAGGATAGGAGTAGTTTACAGTAATTGAGTTTTTATTCTGGGTACAGTGGGTATCATACGATTGGGTTTAGTGTTTACTCAAAGAGATATATGTACTGAGAATTATAGAACGTTTTTACTCCGGTTGGGCTCTGACTTTGTTAAAGATTATTGTAATAAAATAAAACAGTTTGGTTTACTCCAAGTTTAGTTTTAGTAAAGAATTAAGGAGGCGCTATCAGAACGCAAAGATATATTGGTAATCTTGCAAAATAAATGAACACCTCTCTATTATCAATATTATAAAAAGGTTATGTAATTTTTTAATAGTTCTTATCTCTATATACAGTGATCAGCGTTTATTTTTTATTTTTCAAATTACACGCTTAAAGGAAACTAAGAAAAACTGGTAATTGACAGCTTCTCTTAGATTCCATGTTTATGTGTATCCATACTCTTAGAAACCTTGTTGGAAAACAAAATTGAAATCGAAAGTATTCTTCATTGTATTGATAAATACGACGACATCTGTATATAAGTATCGCTCTATCTTATTTGAAATTTTTATTGAACCCAACATTATTGGTTTTCAATGAATCAACTAATCATTTTAAGATAAGTTTATAAGTATTGATGAAATTTTAAAAGCTTTGATTTCATTTTTTGACACTGTTCTCTGCTAAAGGATATGTGTTTATATAATTAATAAATTGAATCTACGAAGACGACATACAGATCTCCCAGATCTACTCACCCCGAAGTCGAGTTTAAGGTTTTCAAAGTCGTCAGTATCTGGTGAAAGCTGAAAGTTCTCCTCCGCCTCCTCTCCGCCGTTCTCCTCCGCCTCCAATGTCTCCGCCAGCAAATGAGAACATTCGTCCGGGGAATAAAGTTCTCTAAACATTTTTGCAGGTTTTCTTTTGTGAATAACACTTTTTCTTAAGAAATTTAAACTATTACAGTTCGTCGTCGTATTTTCAATACAATAAAGACGACTTACGATTTTAACTTTCTAATTCTACCAAAATTTTAAACAGCATTGGTACACATTAACATGGAAATAAGGAGAAGCTGTCAATTATCGTAAATAGAAAAGTCGTCTTGATTGTATTGATTGAATTGCCGACGACTGCATTTTGATATCATTTTAGGATTTTAAGTATTTATAAAATTAAGAAACACATTCAATATGTTTTTGTTCAACGAAATAGTATTAATGACAAACGTTTGTCAATAATTTAATAGATAATTTTTCCACGTGTAAATAAAATTCAAAAATAAAACAAAAACATCAAATTCCATAAGACGCTTTCGTTTTTGGAACAAAAAAGTCTTTATTCTCTCCATGGTTACATGGTTAGAGGATACTCTATTTAAATATTTTTTGCCAACTTAGTAAGACGACGTATAACGTTTCCTCAGACAACGTACTTATGAATACTTCTTTAAAGTTTGCCAGGTATAAGAACAAGACTAAAGGGTGTATGAATGATTTATCTAGAGAGAGGGGGGGGGGTTGAAAATTGCGAGAAAAAAAAAATTTTCCTTGAAGTGATAGGGATAAAAAAAAATATTTTTTGTTTTTTAGGAGTATATGGGGATATTACCCCCCCCCCCCCTCCATGGTAAAACTAAAGCTTTATCTCACCTGTTGTTAACGTGTTCCAGGAGAGTTTGGAAGATGCATTGAGAATAGTTATCCTCCCAAGTAAACCCCTGCACGATGGTTAATTTAAAATTTATTAAAATGCAAAGGATATTAAAAATAATGTGTTTTAATTTTAAAGACAGGAAACCTTTACCTGGGAGAAAACTCTTCTCATCTCAGCCTCCAAAAGGTCCATGGGGGGCCCGGAGAGAGGACCCATCCTGAATACATCTGGGTCCGTTCGGGAGTCGGAGACACATCGTCCAATCACCAGGTCTAGATAGAGATCGGGTTGGGAGAGAGCCGGAGAAGGCACAGAAATAGATAGAGGGGTATGGATGGGATGATTAGAGAAGACAGGAATAGATAGGAGGAGATAGGGTTGGGATGATTGGAGAAGACAGGGATATATAGGAGGGGATAGGGTTAGAATAGAGCGGAGAAGACAGGGATAGATAGGTGGGGATAGGGTTGGAATAGAGCGGAGAAGACAGGGATAGATAGGAGGGGATAGGGTTGGGATGATTGAAGAAGACAGGGATAGATAGGAGGGATCTAAGAGAATGATAGAACAGAATATGTCTAGATAGGAAAGAATATTTCTCCCTAAACCCTTATCTAAAAGCAAAGCTCTGTTTTCAATAATAATCCTGTTTTGCCGAGATATATTATTGAAAATACACAAAATAATCTTTTGAAAGGAGAGCTGGAGAAAATAGAAAAATAACTTTCCAAGTAAAAATAAACACCCCCCCCCCCCTTCTTGTTTTGATATCTGTACACGTAGACTGTACATGCATATATAATGAATATCAAATACATCTATTAGCATCATTGTATTTATTCTCTTGAGAGGAATAATATATTTCAATATAAAGTATTCAGATATATTTATTCTACTTGAACAATTCTTGAAATGTATTTATCTATATTTCAATTCCAAGAAGATCCTTGGTAAAATATTTGGTTGGATGGATATAGAATCTTAAAATATTATTTTTATTCATATTTTATATTTATCATAGAATTCTGTACTGAGAATTTAATAGTTTTATATAAGAGTGTTGTTATAACACATATATATATAAATATAAGTAAAAAAGATGGATAAATGGGATGAAAATAGAAAGGGTGAGAATAGAAAGGAATTAAGTCTTTGACTTAAATGTTCAAATCTCTATATCTTTGCAACCTGATGGTGTAAACCTTTGATATTTAGAACTCTTATTTCTTTATCTAACAAATTTTAAAGTTTGAAATATATAAGGTAGAGCCCATCGAATATTGTGTTTAAAAAAAGGGGTCAAAAATCCAGGAATTAACCATTTATTGTGAAAATAATTGATGAATGGTGAGAAACCATATATTTAGATTCAATTTCTGATGAATACTTACGGTTAGATGGAAAAAAGAGAAATCATGAGACCTAGAGAGTTTCTTCAGCTGAGATAAAGAAAAGTAAATAAGCTTAAGAACAAATATATTTAATAAATTGATATCATTCACTGGTCAAAATATTACACATATTTTAGCTAAAGTCAGATGCTATAAATGCCTATAGAAAATTGCCTTCTTACTGTTCATGCAAAGAAGTTGAATCTTTGCCACAAACGTAACATATGATTTTACAATATCGTTGCAACCCAATACCGTAGACCTTGGATATTTCAAATTATGAATTTTGTCAGATCAAATAATCTAAGTTTGAAAAATTAAGAGTTTACACCATCAGGTTGCAAATATATTTACATTTTACATTCCTTCTCTAACCTTTAAAACAAAATTGCTATTTTACATGTATTCTCTATCCTATAAGAATCAAAATTGCTAACTTTACATGTATTCTCTATGCACTAGCAACAAAATTGCTAACTTTATGTAGATTCTCTTTACGCTAGCAACAAAATTTCTTCTTTGTACCCTCACAACAAAATGGCTATTTTATGTGTATTTTCTATCCTATAAAAACACAATTGCTAACTTTACATTTATTATCTATACACTAGCAACAAAATTGATATTTTACGTATGTTTTCTATCATATAGAAACAAAATTGCTAACTTTACACGGATTTTCTATCCTTTGATATTTCAAACTTAGATTATTTAATCAAAAAGAATTCATTGAAATATTCAAAGATATATGAGATTAAAAAATCAGAATTTGTGGGAGAGTCTAAGTTTGTTTAACTCACCATTGAAGCACTCCTCCCCCTCCTCACACACTTGCCCCGAGAACAGGCAGCCTAAAATAATATTCAGTTATTGTCTATTTTGGTTTTATTTTCATGTTTTTACAATATATTCGTCATATTTTAAAACAATAGAATGTTGTCAATATATTTCCAGAGTCCATACTTTTTTTAATGGCTAATTCAAAATGAATAAATTTTGAAAACTATTTCTAAACTTCATAAATATCCTAAAGAATATATATATAGATATATACACAAATATCCCTAAATACTTAATAGATAGTTATAGTTCTAGACTAATTACCACGGCAATAACCGTTAATGCCTTAATTTACAAGGGAAATACTACAATAAATTAATCTTCCCTTGAAGGGACCACTATAGTTTCAGTAGAAGTACATATTTACAATTACTGATAGCGCCGATTGAAGGATTCATAACTCTAATTGGAGAATGAGATAGATCTATCCTTTGATATTTCAAAC